AAGTTTTTTCTTTTATAATTTACAATTGAAAAATGATAAATATATTACAAAAACTTTGTAAATCGCAAAAACAGAAAGTTTTTAGAAAATATATCTATTTTATGTCTTTTTTTTTTTTTTTGCGTATTTAAACAGTGCAAAGATTTTCACAATAATATATATTTTTTAACATATTATATTTATTTTAAACTCATCGACAACTTTAAAGTATCATTTGATAATTTCTTACTGTTTAAAAGTTAAGGCCGTGTAAATACTTTTGAACACTAAAGTTAAGACTAAGTTGCCACTAAGTTTTCATCGAATCTTTGTTCTCACATTCGGGGTAGGGGGTAAACTTTACTAAATAATTCTTCTGCAACTTTTTTCAAAACATTTATAATTGTCATAAGCATAAACATACTTAAGTTTAGAATTTGCGCGCTGCCTGAATGTATCATAATTGAAATATAAAAAATCCTTTTTACGCGACAGTGTAGGACATTTTAGTTTTTTAAAAACGGTAAGAGTATAAGAGAATTATTTGATATTTATTTTTTTAATTAAAAAGGTACATATTCATAGAAAAAAAATTTAGGATTCACTACACTTATTTTAAATAATTCCTGCTCTCAAGACGGTTTGAGCATACCTCATTTTTCAAACATAATATATGAAGAGCTCACTGAAAAAAAACAGTACCGTCACATTAAAAAATTTTGAGAAAGTATATAGCAATCATTTATAAAAGCTGTTATTTAAAGCAAAGAAAATTAAAAATGAGAAAAAAAGTTAATAGAAAATAGTCTGATTAATTTATTATAAGTTTAATCTAAAATAAATTTTTTACAATTTTTAATAATAATAATATATATATATATATCAAGGGTTAATGCCAAGTCAACCTTATGACAGACTCAAATAACAGGTTTTACAAGATTTTCCAAAACAACTTAAATAAAACCAATAATTAGCTGGCAAAACATAGCTTCCCAAGTAGCAAACAGTATTGGCGTAATATTGGCACGATATTGGGTATCTTGGCTAATCTTGGCCAAGATATCCGATATTGCGTCAATATTGTCAAGCAATATTACGCCAATATTGTCTTAACAATATTGGCAAACAATATTGCGCCAATATTATCCATTATCGTTTTACTGATATTTTTATGCCAATATTGGCGCCAATATTATCCCATTATCGATTAACTGATAATGTTATGCCAATATTGGCGAAATATTGTTTGCCAATATTGGCTTAATATTAAATTTTACATATTGGTACGCATGCGTAATATTAAGGAATATTCATAATGTCCTTTAGTTTTGTTAAATGTGTTTAAATGTAAATAATAGCATCTTTTTACATAAACAGGCATTCTTATGTTATTAATTTTTTTACAAAAACAAAAAAGAGTTCAAAATAAAAATTTTAATTTATGAAAAGAGAAGAAGTAGGATCAAAATTAAGGAAAGAGCTCAAGAGATATGGCGCTAAAGTTATATTTACAACACCACCAACTTTAAAAAGAATTTTGTGTAATAACAAATCCAAACTATTGCCAAATAGCAAGCCGGGTGTGTATAAGCTTACGTGTTCATGCGGTGGCGTTTATATTGGAGAAACAAAAAAGAAAATTATACAAAGAAGTATTGAGCATCAGATAAACAGTATGAAAGGTAATTGGCATGCTTCCGGAGCCACAGAACACTGCACGAACTGCCACGGTATATTTAATTGGATGCACCCAAAAACGATCGCATTCAAGTCTAACTACCATGAAAGGAAAATAAGAGAGTCACTTGAAATTAATAATGTCCATACAAATTACAAAATAAGACACTTCCCACCGCTTTTGAACAAAGACAACGGTGTTAAAATTGCGTCAACCTCTTTTTAAAAAAAATCATAGAAATTTCAAAATAGTTGTTTACGTTACGTCAGCTCATCTTTGTAATGTCTTCTATAACGGTTTTTTACATAAGTTTTTTTTTTTTGTGTGAGATTTTTATTGTATTTAATTTTACGTATATATATATATATATATATATATATATATATATATATATATATATATATATATATATATATATATATATATATATATATATATATATATATATATATACGTTTTGCAGACAAGCAATAATGTTTTGAGTAATTTTTTTCAGTAAAATACAAAAAAAAAAGAGTTTTAAAAGGAAAACATTGCAAAGAGAATAAATAATTTCACAACCAAACAGCTACTATACCAAAGTCGATATAAAAATTACTAAACTACAATTATAAGCTTGAACTTTATTAACTTTTCCATTTTTTTGACGATCACAAAATCCCGGGAAATTTTGGAGACTAATACCGGGATTTTGGGATAAACAATTTGTACGAAATCCCGGGATTGCCATTTTTAGTGATTATGCAGTTTTTCCTCGTGTGGACTTTATATCTAGGGTTAGGACTATTGTAATTGTAATGAAAACAATAACAATAACTATTGTTATTGTATTAACTTAATTTAGAAACAATAACAGTACTTGTGACTTACAACTATTGTAATACTGTAACGCAATAACAATAAATATTGTATTGCAATTCATCTTTATAAAACAATATCAATATCTGAAAAAAAAAGTATTGTAATGAGCCACTACAATAACAATAAATATTGTATTGTAATTCGTCTTTATAATACAATAACAATATATTGTTATTGTAATAAAAAAATAATAATTTTGGAGTCAAAATTTAATAAATGTTTTAACAGTCCAGTCTCTGAGATAAGCGACCTTGAAATAGGGTACAAGTAATATATAAGTATTAATTCTGTTTCTTTTTTATTTTATAAACTTTATATAGCTCTATAAAAGTGAGTTTAATCGGGCCTGTATTTCTTTTACTCCTGGGGATAGACATGATTAACTACTATCATTTCTTCCACTAAGTTATTTTCTTTTACATTAGGCACCTATCCAATTGTTTCGAAACTTAGTCAACTCACACTTACTCTAATATAACTTTGTCTTTTGCTTCCCTTCGGCTTTATGGCTGTATGTGTTTCATAAAGTAAATAGACATCTAGTTGTAAAGTTATAAAAGAGTTTTGTAACATAAATCAAGAATCAATATTTATTTGGGGTTCTAAACTGCCTCATTTTTCAAAAATGATCCACACAAAATTTATTGGTACGGTCTGATAGGTGATGAACAATCTGAAAATGTAGAAAATTTTTTAACAAAACAAAAGTAGTTCACATTTTCAGACAATCTAATTGATAATTACTCAGGTTAATGGTTCTTTGATTCCATAACGATGTAATTGATTACACAATAGCGGTTAGATATATTGAAAAAAAGAAGCGCTTAATGTAGTTAATCAATTAGTTTAGACGTCATCATCCGGTGAAACATGTCAATATCAGTTTAGACAAAATTATAAAAAAATATAAAATTTTACTTCTTAAAGCAAATAATTATTTAATTACAAGCATATGATAAATTATATATTTGTATGATTTTGAATATTATTGTTAATTCTAAATAAATTATTATTGACACAGTTATATTATTGAACTCAAAATAAATAAAATTTATATATGTAAATGGTTTTTAGAAACCTTATATTTATTAAGTATACGTAGTATATATACTACTTTGGCTTCCCTGGCTTCACTTCACATCTCAAAATAAATAAAATTTATATATATAAATGACTGCTGAGCGTCACGGGCACCCCTAAATTATCTAGTGCCCAAATAATAATAAATGCGTGAAAAAAGAGTCTAAATACTATAAAATACAATAGCTATTAGACTTTGAAATAGTAATATAATACATCAATGTACTTATTGTAATTGTTTTTTTATCCCAGCAATACAATACAATAGTTATTGTAATTGTTTTACATCACAACAATACAATACAATAGTTAATGTCATTGTATTACATCACAGCGAAACAATACAATAGTTATTGTAATTATTTTACATCACAGCAATACAATACAATAGTTAGTGTCATTGTATTACATCACAACAAAACAATACAATAGTTTTAGAGCTTCAATGTATTGTTAGGAAAAAAAAAACTACAATAGTTATTGTAACTGTTTTTATTCAGAGCAATACAATAACCATAAATAATGTTTTAATTGCATCTCTGGTATTACAATACAATACTATTGTATTGTAATTGTTATTGTATTTAATTTTTACAATAACAATAACAATAGTCCTAACCCTAATGAAATAATGATAAATTTAATAAGATATGAATCATATCTTATTAAATTTATCATTATTTCAAACAATTTTTTTTTTTCAATAATTCAACAATATTATTCATAAACAATTTTTTATGTTCAGTTCATCACTCATATTGACTTTTAGGAAGCAATGTATTTATTTATATTAAACACTAGATAAAAAGTTTATTTATAAAAAGTTCTTGGAAAAAAAACCCTTCTTTATTCGTAAAAAGTAAAATATTTACAACCGTTAAAAATAAACATTTAATCATATTTATTTCATGTTTAACTGGACACTTTTGAAATAAATTAAACGTATTTAATATTATTTAATGGTAACCTTAAATTTTTTCAATTTAATTGCAATTAACTAAAAAATTATTGCTGACAAAATTAATTTTGCAATATCTATCTTACTTTTTATGTAAGACCTTCGAAAACCTTAATTTGCCTCCTATAATTCTGTTAGTATTTCACTTAATGACCAATAACCTCTTTAGCCAAACAGTTGTAAATCCCTAGAAAAATGGGTGTAAATGTTTTTGTTCAAAAATAGGATTTTACAAACTTTTTGACTAGGAGTTATCGTAAATATGAAAATATACAATTATATAAAATATCAAACAAAATATAAATAATTCGTATTATACATATATATATATATATATATATATATATATATATATATATATATATATATATATATATATATATATATATATATATATATATATATATATATATATATATATATATATATATATATATATATATATATATATATATATAAATCTTTTGCTAACTTTTTAAACTAAATAATTTAACAAGTTCATAACTAACAGCTAATACGCAACTTGATGGCACCGATGAAATTAACCTTGCTGTCAGTCCTTTGTGAAGTGCACGAAAACCCTCTTCTTCATAAAGTCTTTTTATAACGCTTCGTATGGATGAACTTCCTCCTTCAACCTTCAAAAATAATTTGTCAAAATAAAATATGTTAAAACAAGTTGCACACGTGATTGACATATGCAACCGTATGCCAGAGCAATTTAAAAGGAACAAAAACATACCATTAGAAAGAAGTAAAAAGCTAATGAATATTTTTTTAGTAACTTTTTGTTTACGCATTACAAGAGGAGATCTTATACAGAGTCTCACGACTCTTTATGAATCATCAATTAAAAATAAGCAAATTTTTTTTAAAAGCCAATGGGTTTTAGGAACTTTATGTTTACAATTTTTTTTTCTTAGAACTTTAGCAACGATTCATGAGTTTTGTCTGAAGAAATTATGTAACACATAATCCATTCCTTGGAATAAATTTTTGGCTTTATTATATTTTCAACAGAAAATCTTATTTTGTCACATTTAGCCTTGAGTTCATTATATTGTTAAATTGTCCAACATTTATATATATATATATATATATATATATATATATATATATATATATATATATATATATATATATATATATATATACATATATACTTTATATATACAGGGTGTTAACTAGAAGTAAATTTGATATAGCGTTTTGACGAAATTGGGAATTTGTCAAAAAACTTACCAATTAACCCTCCCCCCCACCTGCCCTGAGATTAAAATGTGTTCCGGAAATGTGTGGGGTTCTTTTCTTATATTCTTTCTTCTTCTACGCCACTTTAGCACTGCATACATTGATTGGACAGTGCCAAAAATAATACAAAATACCGTCTGTAACATTTATTGAAGATGAATATGAAATCAATACAAAATTAAAAGTGGTTTCATAACGACAAGGCAAATCAAGTTCCGATTTCTAAAGATATATTCAGAACAAAATATTTTTATATTATAAAATAATCAGTGTGTATTAATTAATTATTATTAAGAATAATATATTTGATTTACTTTTAATGTTAATATATCATTGCTGTTTTCATGTTAAGAGTATCCTTTTAAATATATATATTTTTTTCACTAGGATTTTTAAAGTAATATTTTAAAGGACAATTTTTAAGTAATATAGCAATTTATGTTCAATGAAAATTTCCGCGGAAGAGAGCTAATGAGCTAATGAGGGGTTGTCCATTAATTACGTCAACAAAATAGGGGAGGGGGTTCTGAACTTTTTTGAGAACTGTTGACATGGAGGACCAGGAAGGAGTCAATTAAAGTTGACGCTAACAATTATTTCTTTTTTTTTTTGAGTCTCATTGCTTAAATAATGGAAAATTAGGCTGAGTTTATAGCGTAGTTTCTTTGTATAGGGAGGGGGGGGTAATCAAAAGTTGACGTAATTTTATAGGGGGTCTCTGGAAATTTAACAAATTATTGATAAGGAGGGGGGGGGGGGGGGGGGGGGGAGGTAAAAAATCCAAAAAATTTGTTGACGTAATTAATGGACAGCCCCTGATCTTCTACTTCAAATTACTATTCAAATTCTGTTTGATGTCCTATATGGTCAAACCCTTACACCATCATGTAATAAATTGTGTCATCAAAAGAAATGTTTTAAAAATAAAAAAATAAAAAGGTTTTGGAAATAGAAAACACAACTTGTAAATTTCATATTTCACATTTATCGCAAGTTCAATTTTATAATTAATATTAACTTTCTTAATCGCATTGCGAAACACATTCTTGTTATTAAAGGTATTTAATTTACGTTTTTATATACATATTTAATTTACGTTTAACTATAAGCGACCAGTAAAGTAAAGAAATCTATTTTCCTTATTAAATAAAGTTTCTAAATTAGTTTGTTATAATCAAAAATCATTTATTTAACATATTTTCAGCCAAAAAAGGGGAAAATTTTTAAAGAAATAGCATTTGTGGGTGTTAAGCTAAATAAATTTAAAATTTTTTAAAATATGCTTTATCTCTTACTAATTTTTTTTTAATAATATTTGCTGTTGTTGGAACGCATTGTAAAAAATTATTTGCAAATTTTGGTAACTGAACTTTTTTCTGAGCGATTTTAGGGATTTTTAGAAAATCCCAAGTTATGCAAGCGTGTAGTTATACCAATAGACACAATTCTATTTCAAGTTTTAAAAAATAAATTATAATTTTTTATGTTAATTTTCTATTAGTTTTTAATAGTAATTAATTTTCAATAACTTTTAGAAATATTATGACACTTTAATTTGGCAAACTTTGTTTAGAGAATGGGATTTTTTCACTTTTAAATTGGGAATTTCAATTTTATTAGCATTTGGGAATACCGCATTTGACGGGGCCCCACAGGGCTAGTTTACACACTGATATATATATATATATATATATATATATATATATATATATATATATATATATATATATATATATATATATATATATATATATATATATATAGATATATATATATATACATATATATATATATATATATATATATATATATATATATATATATATATATATATACATATATATATATATATATATATATATATATATATATATATATATATATATATATATATATATATATATATATATATATATATATATATATATATATATATATATATACATATGAGTCATTCTCATGAAAAGTAACATTTTCAATAGTTAATTTAAAAAAAGTTAAACATCAAATTTACAAATCAAATTTTTTGTTGTTATAGCTTTGAGTATATTTAATCATTTTATAAGTATCCACACAACTCGTTAAATGTAAGCTTACTAAAAAAAAATAAAAATAAAAAACTTCTAGTGTAATCCACAGACGTTAAGAGTTAAATTTGCCACAGAGACGATATTAAGAGTAGTTTTGCTTTATGCTGTAACAGCTAAAAATGTCTTAACAAAAAAAATAATCGCTTGTAATCAATAGTTTTAATAGCTGACATAAACAAGTTTTACAAAATTTTAAGTATTATTATTATTAAGTATTATTATATATTAGTAAATAAATTAGCAAATGTTTTTAATAAGTCTTGGTAAAACTATATTGCTCCCTGTTGTTGAGGTTCAGCTTGCACAACCTAATTGCTACATTGCCTTTATTGATGACAGAGATGTCATCTTTCTCTAAAAACGTAAAATATTCCTGGCCAGATCTTCTCAAAAACTTTATGGCCAACTCATTTTCATATGCACCTAAAGCTTAAATTAACCCAACATAGTATTTCACACTTTTTTTTTTAAGGTTTGAAACTTCAAAATCACAAAATCATTAATTTTAAGAGAAGCTGTCCTTCTCACTATTGCTGTAAACACTGTGGTAACTTAGTCTTGTCAACTTCTTTTCACATTTACTCGGGCCTTAGGATTCTTGAGCCAAACCTTTAGATGTTGTTCCTTCAGCTGGTGTTTTCTTCATTTTCAAGGATCATTGACCTGGTAAAGTATGTTAAATAATTTTTTGAAACAGAGACAAATAAAATTATTAATAAAATAGAAACAAATTATATAACTATTTTACAATAAAAATTTTTTGCCCAACTTATTTTAACATTTAATGAAAATACTAGGGTTGTTGAAAAACTAAATATTAATCAAACTTACTGGCTAAGTAACTAGAGAACATTTAAGCAACGCGCAAGTTTGCAATATTCAATATAAGCAAATTTAAATTTCCTAGTAAAGAATACAAGGATGAAGATCTGTCAAAAATTCCAAACGAATTCATACTTCTCAAATACTATAGTAATTGCATTTTGTACCATTGTCACATCCAGTGTATATCAGCCTTCTTATAAACAGCGTTTCTTTTTTAGTGGAGCTCAAAAACACCTAATGAACTTGTAAAGTTCCCTTGAATGTTGTTTGGTTTAACGATACACATTTCTCATAGAGATTGAAATCTGTGTTGTTAAATAGAATAGATGGTTATACTTAGACACTTTACTTTTATTTCTTCAACAAAACAATTAATATCAGGAATATCTTTTCTTTGTCCTATTAATCAGTTCTATTGATACAGCTAAAGTTTTAAAACTTCATTTTACCTTTTACCGCAAGTTCAACACTTTTTTTAGACAATTGTGGAAATGTTAATTGTTCATTCTCAAATTCTTTACAAACTACTATTTTGTTTAAATGGCATACTCCACATTTCTTTTCCAGGCAGGATTCTCTCAGCTCACTGTCATACTTTTTAGCAAGTCAGTAGGATATTTACATGCCAATATCTTTAAACTATACAACTTTTCAAGAATCAAAGCAAAATTGTCACGGTCAATACAAAGACAAGTATTTCGTTTACAAAAGCCTGGTTGAACAACTCAAAAGGGTCTCATTTTGCAAAATGTGCTATAAGACCTTAACTTGAGTTGTTTGTTTGAACTCATTGCACAAATTTAACATTGTATCATTTAATAGTCTTTTCTGTTTTTTGAGTTTGTTTCTTGTTATTGTTTTTTTTTTTTCCAAGCAGTAAGCCTACTAGAACTATCTTTTTCTACAAAATTCTTGACTTCCATTTTAAGTTTTCATTGTTTCAGTACATTTGAGAGCTGATTCAAGTTGCGGGGTAAGATATATCTAGAAGTAAAATTGTTGAGACTTTTTTGAAGTATTTACTTTTTTATTATCTTTCTGCTTAATACCCTGGCAAAATCCTTTTTTTTTTTTGTCAATACATCTCTCAGTTGAAAAATTTGATTGTATTTGTGTCTTTAACACTTTGCTAAAAAGCAGACTTTTCTTTATTTCCATCAAGCATTTCGTACTACTTGGTCATTTTTAAAATCATTTTTCAAGGAGTATTATCTTTTGCAGACCGTAGTCTTTAAAACTTTTGTTTGTATTTATCACCTCTTTGCTTTAACAAATTGTTATTTTCTTTAGATTTTTGGATTTTTTTCTTTAACTCATCTCTATATTTTCTATGAACTTATAAGCCTGCTGCTTTTTCTGGAACTAGATTTCTGACTGGGACCAGGAAGTACATTGATGCCTAGTTCATTGTCAATAGGAATATTTACAATTGGATTTTCAGGTGGCGTAGACATATTTTTAATAAGTTATTGTCTCTTCTTTTTCATTTCCAGACTTCTCTTGATCAGTTCGTTCCAACCTTTCCTTACTAATCTTTTATCTTAAAGTTCTAAAAGTTCATGAATTTTCTAAAAGTTCTGAGCCCTTTCTGAAAGTTCATGAATTTTCATGAAGCCCTTTCTGAAAGTTCATGAATTTTTTTCCACTATTTGTTCTTCATACTTTTCTGGGTTTTTAGCTATTATTTTCTCTGTTGCTATCCTCATACTTAGTTTTTTCAATTCTCTAGTTTTTTCTATCTTTCTTATCTTTGTAAACAGTAAGTAAAAAAACTACTGCCTCTTACAGCTTTTTATTGGAAATAACAACTCTATTCCCAGAAGTGACACTTGAGCTGATGATATGAGCTTCAATCACATAAGTTACTTTAAAATTATGTTTTGAGAAAAATATTGTCAACTCTAATTTTAATATCTTTTTGATTTTATATTATGTATTAAAATAAAAGTAAAGTACTAGCATCAAGGATTGCAATCGTTTTATTCATCATTCTTCATTTTTTCTTCTTCTTTTTCGAAAAAAACGGTATAGCTTAAAGTAAGCAGAAAAAGTAAGCAAATGCTTATCAAAACACGCTTTAGTAAATGTGTGTATATATATATATATATATATATATATATATATATATATATATATATATATATATATATATATATATATATATATATATATATATATACTCTTGCTTAATCATCATTACTCATTACTATAAAATTTACACTTTATCTACTATAGTTTATAAAGGTAACAAATTTAAAAAATATTAGTCTTTCCTACTTTTATAGCATACAGCATTTTTATAAAAAGAACAAAGAAAAGACCCTCAGTTTATTTAGCGGCACTTCTTAGTGGCAGCAGGCTATAAGATAGCCGATGTGCGCACTAAAGCCCCTGGTAGCAGGCTAATTTAGAGTATAAACTTTTAATTACATTGTTTATTTTAAAAAAACCAATATTATTGAGAATGATTAAGCTAAATTTAAAAAGATGAAAAGCTAAATTAAAAAAAATCACCTGAAGTCTTGTACGCACTGTATCTGCAGGATTAGTAAGAGTAGAAGCTACAATTCCAGCTGAAATTCCACTTATACCTTGTATAGCAAGATGAGGAGTGGAAACTGGAGTCATTTTGTCAAATAATTGTGTAAACATATAATATGAACCCCACCATAAACCTGAACTTGGAGTATAAGTCAATAGGGAAACTACATAACCTTTATAAAAACCTTTAAGTCCACTTGTACTGTAAATATCTTTTACAACTGAAATGCCTGATTTAAATTTTGGCTTTAAATTAGCTGATGCATCGGCTTGTTGACCAGTCACCATTTGTTTCTGTGAAATAATATCAACTGGAATAGTTATGGTTTGGCCAGCAAGTGATGCACATACACCTGCAACTAAACTCTTTGATGTATTTCCTATGTTAGGTAGCTTTGAGCGAACAACTTCAAATGTTGTAATATATACTTGACTTGATGCAACAGTAATTAAATTTGTAGAAAAACCTTTATAAAATCCACGAATGCCTTCATGCTTAAATATTTTTCGGAAAGCATCAAGTGTTCCTTTATAATGGGAATTTTGCTTCTGCACCTGAAGACGAGTTTTAATAAGAGTGGGTGGAAATATAATCAAACGAACTCCAACCATCATAATTGGACCAATAACATAGTATTTACGTTTATCAAGTTCCTCCCATTCAATATGTCTAACATCTTGATTCGTCATTCTAAATATGTAAATTAATAAGTTTACAAGCAATTTGTTTATAAGCAAAATAAAAAAATTTAAAAAAATTTACAATTTACAAAAAACTTCATAAATTTACAAAAAAAAAAAAATTGTATAAAATTAGTTACTACAGATTCGATTGATGAGATGTCACGTAGAAGTAGTAAAAGATTGATGTTCGAATAAAAGATACCCATGAATTTCAACAAAATGTTTACATTTGTTATCTACTTATCTGGACTCTAATTTCATAATAAGAAAAAAAATAATTAAATAAAAATAATTTGATCAATTTGTTTAGAAACTCTATTTCAAAATTTAAATATCATATCTCCTGTCTTTTAAGTACTTTAAATTTTGTGTTATATTTGGAACATTTATTTTGGGGGCAATTGAAATGCAATATAAATTTTCAATAAACTTTTATAATTTCGTTATTATTTTAAATGTTTTTTAAATCTACATTAAAAGAAAAATATAAACGCCAAAATTGTCAAAAGTGAAAGTGTTTTTAATTAACTTTTATTTTTTTTTAATTTTTTAAAAATTTATTTAAATTTTTTACACTCGTATACCGACTCCCATATGTATCAACAATTAATACTGCTTAAATTCGTTATAATGTTTTAATTCGCAGTTAACTCGTTACGCGTATTTTAGATTCGCAAATTACGTCACGCTTAAAGTAAAAAGGGACGGGAAAGTTAGAAATTTGTCTGACATTCTTCCTGATGAACCTACTGATGGTAAAACAATTTATAGAAGAAAAAATAAGACAAGTGTTTTTACTAATATATATATATATATATATATATATATATATATATATATATATATATATATATATATATATATATATATATATATATATATATATATATATATATATATATATATATATATATATATATATATATATATATATATATATATATATATATATATATATATATATATATATATATATATATATATATATATATATTTATATTTATATAGTGGCGTAGGAAGGTCGCGAAAGTTGGGGAAGGGAGGGCTGAAAACATATTTTAAAAAGGAAAAAGTTCCTCAATTTCGTATGATGGAGCAAAGTATTTAAAATGATCTATTTATTCAACTATTTATCAAACTGCAACACAATTAATCGTCTTTTTAACGTGATTAGTCATCTTTTGCCAGCACACATTTATTTAAAAAATAGTTAGTATGCGATAGTATCTTAAACAGTTTTATGGATATACTTTTCCATGGAGATGCTTAATTGTGATTGAGTTTGGTGATGTTGGTGATGATGATGGTAATGTTTAATTGTGATTGCAGACTGGAAAATGATAAATCCGCTGTTGCTATCATAAAAGTTTTTTTAAAACTGTATAGAAAATGGGGGGGGGGGGGGGGGCTAAATGCATTGTCCGCCCCCCCCCCCCTCCATTATTTTAAAAATAACACAATAGTAATAATAATAGTAATATAGTAATATAGTAATACAAACTGCTGTAACAACGATTGAAGAAAGCAATGAGATCTCCTCTTATACGTCTTGTTTCCAGAGTTGTGAGGCCCAACTTTGTCAATCTTTCGGTATAACTTAGATGTTTTAGTTCAGGGGCTAGCTTTGTTGCTCGTCTTTGAATTTTTTCTAGGTCATTGATATTGTTTTTATTACTTGGACTCCACACTGGAGCTGCGAATTCCAAGTGTGGTCTAACCAGCGATGTGTATAGTTGCCTTACCATTTCAGTGTTAAGATAAGTAAATTTTTTTCTTATTAAACATAAGATTCTTTGTGCTTGACTTGTAGCTACTTGAACCTGATGATTCCATTTCATATTGGATGAAACTATTACACCCAAGTCTAGTTCTTTTGTTGTTGTTTTTAGAAGAAAACTTTGATTGTCGTGCTTTATAGTGTAGTTATAGTTAATATTTTTTCTTCCAATGTGCATAACACTGCATTTATTTATGTTAAAGTCCATTAACCATACATTTGACCATTCAGTTAACAAATCAATGTCATTTTGCATATTAGTTAGATCATTATGTTCTTTTATAACAGATATGATTTTAGTATCATCAGCGTATAGTTTTGCGATTGAAGAGATACATTGGGGAAGATCATTGATATATAACAGAAAAAGAAGAGGACCCAATACAGAGTCCTGTGGTACACCACTATACACAATGTTTTTTATTTCTGACATTTTTGTTTAATCTTCTTTCGTAAAATTTATTTATATTTTCAAAAGATTATTTTACAATAATAAAACTCTGAAATAAATATTACAAAATAGTTCTTGAAATGTATATCGATGGCATTATGCACAGAAGTGTTAAGTTCCACAGATGTAATTTTATAAGAGAGCATTTTGAAAGTAGTAGACTCGTAACAATTTATCGTACACTTGCCATATTCGGGAACAATAATGTTTGAAAAAATACGACAACTTTTGTGTACTTAGCTCAATTTGACCAAATATTGTACTTAACACTTCTGTACATAATGTCATTATATGTATATGATGTCATCAACTAGATTGTTTTTTTTTGACATCACAACTTTTCAACGTTTCAACAACGAAGGAAAAAGAAAAAAGAGAAAATAACATTGTAATATTTGGAGTAAAAGCTTCAGACAATGAAGACAAAAGCAAAGCTAAAGTATACGACAAATAGACTATTGATTATTAACAAATTGCAAGCTAAAGTAAGTTTACAAAGTATTATAAAGTTAAAATCAAACAGTGACAAACAAGCCCCGATTATAGTTATATTAAAAGATAAACTTGAATGAAATTCAATATTAAAAAAAGTAAATAAATTACGTGACTCAAAAGAGTATGAAAATGTTTTCATCAATCCAGACTTAACAGAAACAGAAAGATACAAATCTAAATTATTATGACAAGAATGTAGAGAAAAAAATAATGAAAACAAAGAGAGAGAAGATTTTTATTATGGTATCCGAAAGAACAAAGGGATAAAAATAAGAAGATAGCAACGAAAAAACATTAAAAACCCAATTAACTCACCAAACAATGATTCAGCTCAAGTAAATTTAGTTTTTAATATAAACGGTGAGAAGGTTCAATCTCAAAGTAAATTGAATACCATAAACATAGATAGCTCATAATTTGAGTGTTTCAAGTAAACCTAGTTATTTAAAATGTTTATACACAAATGCAACATCGCTAGAAAGAGACAAAGTAAATGAACTTATTGTTGAATAAAAGTAAAAAAGCCAGAACTTAGTTTTAAAACAGAAACATGGTGGAATAATCTATGAATAACAAATTACCAGGTTACAATCTTTACAGAAGAGATCGTGAGAAAAGTAGAGGAGGTGGTGTTTGTATATTTACTTGAGATAAAATAAGCTCTTTTAAAATAAAAGACAATGTGCTCAATAACAAAGAAGTTGAACAAATTATGTGTTCTATTAAAGTAAGTGGTGAATTTATTTTATGTGGTACAAACTAGGAAACAATGAACTTGAAAACTGTCGTCTTTTAACTAATTCTATCAAAAGAAGTTATGAATATTTTATTAAGAACAAAAAATACACCAATGTCTTGATTTCCATCTTTTAAATTACAAATGGAACAATGAGTATCAAAGTGTTAGTATGGGACCGAAAGAGTATTTATCAATTGTATTCAAGAAACTTACTTAAAGCAACATGTTATAAAATCAAAGTTTCAGCTAAAATTCTTATTTTAACAGTAAATCCATTTTGAATATCAAATTTAGTTCACACTGAGCCTTTAGATGACACAAAAAAATTCATCAAGTTTTGAATTTTAACTTCAACACCATGCCAAAAGATCAAATGGAAATATAAAATTCAATTGAAACCAAAAAGCTACTATTTAGAAGAGGAAATTATAAAAAATCTACAGAGTTTTTGAATAGCAATAATTGGAGCAAGGAATTCAAAAATTTAGACATCAATCAGAGTTATTTAAGTTTTGTTAATATTTATGAAAAAGGTTGCAATGAATGTATACCTAAATTAAAATCGAACAAAATAAATTTCAGAAACAATAAAAGATCTTTTGGATGAATGCACAACTTAAGTACGATATAAGACTGAAGAGAAACCTTTGGTATCGTTACAAAATATTAGATTTTAAAAATACAAAACTAAATCAAGAATATAAAGATAAAAAATAAAAGAGTAAAATGTCTACTTTAAAGTAGCATAAAAGCTAAAAGAAAATTGGAAACGAAAAGAAAATTGGAAACGAAAAGAAAATTGGAAACGAAAAGAAAATTGGAAACGAAAAGAAAATTGGAAACGAAAAGAAAATTGGAAACGAAAAGAAAATTGGAAACGAAAAGAAAATTGAAAACGAAAAGAAAATTGGAAACGAAAAGAAAATTGGAAACGAAAAGAAAATTGGAAACGAAAAGAAAATTGGAAACGAAAAGAAAATTGGAAACGAAAAGAAAATTGGAAACGAAAAGAAAATTGGAAACGAAAAGAAAATTGGAAACGAAAAGAAAATTGGAGTAGAATCAAAACAAAACCCAAAACAAGTTTTTTGTCAATAATAAACTTAAATCAATAATAAACTTAATAATAAATGTCAATAATAAACTTAAAGTTAAGGACCACATAAGTTCAACTAATACCGATAACAACGAGTTATCAAATGATGTACAGTTTATACCAAATTATATAAACAGGTTCTTCTATTCCTTATTTATAGATAAAAATCTTAAATTTATTCCATTATGTAAAAGTGTAACAACTTCAATTTGTCCGAATTCTTTGTTCAACGAAACTGATATAACAAACAGATCATCTAAACTTAATGTAAACAAATTTCCAGGAAGTGAAAAAGTTCACCCATTAGTCCTAAATAATTGTGCGGAAAGTCTTAGAAAACTGTTATGCATTATTTTCAACCGATCGCTAGAATCGGGAACACTACCAGAACACTACCTGGCTAAAAGCAAACATTACACCTTTGCTTAAATAAGGAGATCGCTTAAAGGCTGACGACAACAGACCAATCTCTTTAACCTCGATAGTATGCAAGCTAATGGAAAGTTTTGTCAGAGATACAATGAAACACCTTGTTGATAACAATTTAATAACCAAAAACCAGTATGGTTTTATAAAAACAAAAAGCTGCGTTTCAAATCTGCTAGAAACCTTAAATATGCTTACTCATCTTAAAGAAAAATCTGTGCTGATATTGCCTTTTTAGATTTCGCAAAAGCTTTCGACTCGGTAGCACATCGAAGATTTATTCTCAAATTAGAGTCAATCGGTACAAAGGAGTTATTACTTAATTGGTGTGTGTTGCTTTTAAATAACAAAAAACAAAGAGTAGTTCTAGGAAAATATGTATTGGAATGGGAAACTGTAAAAAGTGAAGTACCGCATCCGGATCAGTTATTGGTCCTTTAATTTTTGTAATTTTCATCAACGACTAAACAGGATTTAAATAACAAAGCTAAATTATATACAGATGACACAAAAGTGACAGCAAAAATAAATTAAAACGATAAAAATTTGCGTAATAATTCCCTTCAAAACGATTTAGATTATCTCTTCGAATGGTTGATTAGATGGCTAATAAATTTTAATAGTGATAAATGCAAGATAATGCACATAGGTCATGATAACGCAAAAAATAAATACAGAGTAAAATGCGATATTAAAGAATTAGGAACCTCAAAAAAAAATCTCAAAGAGACATCGTTAGAAATGATTTAGAATGAAAACATCATATTGAGTCAAAAATAAACTGGCGCAACAAACCTAAAAGAATAACTAATACTACGAGAGGGCATGATCAGAATTTAAAAAGACAATATATGTAAGAAAATCACTTTCTAGGCATAACTTCTTCACTAACCGTGTTGTAGAAGCTTGGAAAATCCTAGATCAAGATATTATTAATGCAACTTCTGTAAATGATTTTAAAAACAAACTAAAACGCTTTAATGAAAAACGGCTGTTATAGTGTAACATCTACTGTCGTTAGACTCATTTTTTTTGGTGAAATAAGAAAACAGCATTTGATTTATATTTATATTTATAAATGCATGTAAAATGTTCATATAGTGACAAAATAAATTACAAAAAATAAAAAAAATAACAAAAAACAAAAAAACAAAAAAAAAATAAAACCTGCAAAGCAAACCAACAAAATCATAATTACATCCAACATCTTCTGAAATTCAATCAAAAATAAATTTGATTTTCAAAGCAAAATGGCAAGTTTAATTTTTTGAGCTTCAAGAAAAGAAAAAGAATTTAATGGAAAATATATCAAGCTTTTTTAAGCCAAAAGTTTCAAAAGCAAAATCTTTCAAAGACCATTTAGTTTTTTTAACTTTATCAGTTCCAGTTTCTTAACCAAATAGTTCTGATTTTTAAATTTCTCAAATTTCAAGTACTACGTCGTTACATGATCAACACTCACTCCGTCCAAAACAAGATATCTAGGCTAAAAGGCAAATTTGTAAATCAATTGTAAAATAAGAACTTATTACGGTGTTGCTTAGAGAGAAATGTAGGATGCTGTCTAAGTGATAGGGCAGCGCCACTTTATTTTGTCCAAAAGGTAACGGCTATATTTATGATTCGGTATCTCGTTAACAACTAGTGATAATAAAATAGAAGCACAATAACAAAAATGATTAAGGATGTACTTTTTATAATCAGTTCTTAAATATATCCGCTTAATTTAGATCTTCCACAAAATAATGGAAGTTCGAGTATCAGATTGCGCAAATATTGTGCAACATTTTTATTTACTAATTATTATTGTTTTTTAATAGGGTTATCACAATTTAATCGTTAATAAGTAAGGAATAACTATAAAAAACTTTATTAATTTACAACTACTTGTACTTATCCCACAAGAGATTCGTTTTAAAACACCACAGATGTTGCGGAACATAAATCAGTTTAGTTACTCTCGTTCCAATAATTTTTAAATATTCTAAACTCGTTGCTTCAAAGTCTAGCTAGATGAACTGTGTTGATCAGATTGTCTGTTTAGTAACCAAATATGGGATACTAAAAAAATTCCTGATTAAAGAAGACAAAAAAAAAAAAAAAAAAGCAAAAGACTACATCTTTTACATTGAAACTGGACAGTCTGTTTGACTGTCCAGTTTCAATCTAAAATTTCAATGTAGTCTATCTGTCTGGTAACGTCAAGTGGCTTAATGAGCGGAAATTCCTAAAAAAGTAATTAAAACTTTCCTCTATTGTTTTATATTAAGAAATAGCAATTTAAAATTAGTAAATTTTACTCAACCATTACTGATGATAATAAAGTCAACGAGGGCGACGAATCTTTTTCAGATGTTACTGATGAAGGAAATAAAAACTTTTTAATGAAAGAGAAAAAATTCTTCATTGAAACGTTTACAGTCGCCAATGGATCCGATATTAGTGAAATACAACAGCAAGTTATTTTGGGAAAGACATTACACTTTCTAAAGAATAAGTTCATGGAGCAAGATCAGCTAACAGCATTGAAGAACTATAATTTAAATAAGTTAATTGAAAAAATTTAGATTTCACCTTAATTTTTAAAAATTCTTGAAATAAAAAAACTTTCAAGAAAGTTACTGGAAAAAAAGAAGAGCGACTTGCTGCGTATGCAGGGCCACCCCCTAAATTTGTAGGTACTCCTAAAATTGCCGACGGTACTGGTCAAACGCAATGTTGTTCAGTGATGAACCTTTTCGATAAGTGGCAATTAAAATCATTAGTTGTTGCACTTGTTTATGATATAATAACTGCAAACAGAAGAGCTGCAATTCTAATTAAGAAGCAAACTAGTAGTTTCTCTATTTCGACTTGAATGTAGACACCATATTCCAAAATTATTTATAAAAGCAACATCCAATGCTATTTGTGGTCCAAAAAAATCACCAAGAATTCAGTTGTTCGAAAGTTTTAAGGAAGAATTTTGTAACCTTAACAAAAATATAAAAAAGCTTAGAGTGTGAGACTGACTTCATGACAAAAATAGTTTTTTATTTCAACAAGCATTTAAATAAATATATGGGCACTGGAATACTTGGAGAGAAAAATATTTCCTTGAAAGGACTATCAAATACTAATGGAGCTTATTCGGTGAGCATATTTAAAGAGACTTAGGCATTCGGTATGCTGGTTTTAATCATCATGCAAGATGTCAAAAACAATTTATTATACAAAAATATTCCCACTCTTTCGTACTTTTAAATTTAATGATAAAGAAGAAAAAAGGTTAAGAGGATGGCCGAGTACATTTGCCTTTTTTACGGAAAGTACACACTGCAATCTGCTAATACTGCTGCTGCTCCAGCTAACAACCTGCATTTTTTTTGTAGTTATTATAGGTGCTTCCAGAAGTCTATACAGTCTTACCACAGAGTATCGCGGGAGGGCATTTAACAAGAAGTTTACACCTCTTTCCGTACCAATGTCGCTTGTTGGGCTAAACTGGCGTCGAACCTCGAACCTCTGGGTTCTGAGCCAGAACTCTAACCACTGCGCTATCAAATGTTTTGATTCAGTAGAGAGAAAACAATTTGTTTAAGTTGTAGATAAGCATCGAAAAAGGTTTAAAGCTTTTTTACTCAAAGTAATTAATTGAAATAAATTTTCAACAAACGAAAAAATAAAACATCTCAGTAACGTGATTAATTGTATATTTAATGATATTTTAATAACTCTTTTGTACAAATAGTCGTAATACATACAAATAATCGTAATACGTACAATTAGTCGTAGTACGTACAAATAATCGTAATACGTACAAATAGTCGTTATGCGTACAAATAGTCGTAAATTATTCAAATTTTGTATAACTATTATTTAACGATTAATAATTAAATTCTGTGAACTCCACTAAGAAACAATAACAATTAGTGGTTAAAAACGTTACGTCACATTCGCGCAATCAGTTATTCTAACTTCCAATATTTTTTAGAGGATCTAAAATTCATCCTAAATTTAAAACTTTTGGTATTTAGCATTTTTAGAAAGGTTCAAAATGGACCACCCTAATTGTACATTTCTTTCATCAATTTTATTACTATTTAAAAAGTACTTATTTCTGATGTTTTTGCTTTGCATTTTACAAAATAAATGTAACTTTAAAGATTTTGAATCTCTGTATCGTATTTAAATAATAAAGAAAAGTATTACAGTAACGGTATTGTATATTTCTAAAAAAACTGGTATTAATTTTACATCAAGTAGTGGGTATCCTATTTAAGAATAAAAAAAAGTTTGTTGTTTCACAATTTATACAATTTTACTGGAAAGTTCAAAAAGTTAATAAAAATTTCTATCAAAAACAGCATATTGTTCAAATATTTCCGAATAAAAAATTTTTAAGATCTAGTTTTACAAAAACCTAAAAATCTTCTCACAATCTATTTAATTAAATTATAAACACAACTACATTAATTTTACTAATAGTACAAATATATTATCTTTTCTTATAAAAAAATATGTAAAATCTATAAAAAATATTTACATCAAAACTTTATAAAATATATAATTTAAAAAATATTTTTCGTGGAAAAAAAATAATTGAAATTTTTTGAAAATATTTTACTTATAACAACTTATTTTTTTTTCTCATGTTCAGATGTATATATGTTGTAAAATAGTTGCTTGTTGTGTAACCAACTGTCATTTTCAAACACTATTTCATAATCTCCTGCTTCCTCACATAAAGCCACACCTTCCTCCATAATTAAATGAGAGTCTTTGCGAGAATGAGCTACAAAGTTTTGCGAATCGCCTTCTAAACCCAAATAATTTATTCCAAATAAAATATCCCCATTTTCAGTCATGAATTGCCATTGAAGAAAAGTCCCGGGAAATTTTATTTCTTTTTTTAGAGTTAACTTAGATTTTCTGGTAAGAGTAGTTGATTGAAAATCTTCAAACTCTGTATTTTCAATGTTGAAATATATGTTTGGTACTTTCCCTCCATAACAAATCTAAAAGAATTGCGTTTTTTATATAATTAATTCTAAGCAATCAGCTACTAAATGTTTACTAAGTTATATTAAGTAGCTGATGCTACTATTAACAATAAAAATCAACGAAATACAAAGTAAACACGAGTTTGCTCTGTTAAAAACAATGTAAAAAACAACAACAGAGTAATGCAAAAAAATACGTTTCCAAATGAAAGTATAAATTTTATGAAAACAGAGTAAAGTTTTGTTAAAAGCAGAGTAATATTTAGTTGGAAACATGGTAATCTTTTGTTAGAAAGAGAGTAGAGTTTTGTTAAAAAAAGAGTAACAGAGTGGCTAGCCAATATTAAAAAAAAAATTCAGGATATTTCCAGAGCTTTTCAAGGAAAGTTTTAGGTTTTCCAACGATATATTGATCTTTTCACGACAAGAAAAAAAAAATGTTGATTTTTTTTTTGCATTACATTGAATGCATAATTAACAAATTCAGTATAAATCTACGCAAAATCTTTAACTTCGTCAAAGTAAAACATACAAAATATTGAATTATTTTAGAAAAAAGTTTCAGGATTTCCAGAAATTATTGCTAAAAGGGGTTTCCAAAGACTTTTCCAGGCCCTTTCACATTCCAGGACTTTTCCAGGTTTTCAAGGACTGATGGTCACACTGAGTAATGTTTTGTTGAAAATAGAGTAAAGTTTTGTTGAAAAACGAATAAATGTTTTTATAAGTTGTTTTTTAAATGTTAAAAAAAAAAAGAAACATTAAGAGGTTAAAAAAAAAAATTAACAGTAAAATAAAATTGTCTTACAAACTGTTCACATTTTGGTGAACCATTCTTATCACGACAGGTACCACCATAGTATTCAGGTAAGTTATCAGGGTGAATATGGTTCTGAATTTCAACACGCCAATTAGCTTTTATAAAATAAAATAACAAAGAAAGCTGAATGTTTTTCTTTAACAGTTAAACAAAAATCTGAAATATTTTAATATTTAATATTTTAAATATTTGAATATTTTTCTTATTATAATTTTTAGATTTTTCCCTAATTTATTTAATTTACTTTATTTCATTATAAATTTAAAAGTTTTAGTACAGTTTTTATAATTTTTGATTCTGAAGAAAATGCAGAAAACATTATAGAATAGCAATCATTTAAAAGAGAATGAAAGTAGCAGAAATATGAATTCTATTACCACTATAAGCATAAATAACAACTAGCACAGTTAAGAAGAAATATTAATCATGTAATGTTTCTTTTTCATGTAAGTTGAGTTTTATATAAAGCCGTTCAGCCTAAGCTTATCTCCTTTATTAAACTAGATAAAAATTAAACATGCTACAGTCAGAAATTTCCTAATGTTAAGTATCATTGATTGTGTAGATATAAAAGTAGCTGTACCTCGTTCATTAACATAAATTCTGATAATAAAAGTCACACTACTGTAAAGGTTTTAGTTGGCACTGCTCAAGGTGGTAGTTTTACTTTTATATCTATTCACAAATAAAGAGAAGAATTTATGGCAGACAGAGGGTTTACAATACAATTTTTTTTTTAAGTCTACTAGGAGTTAAGCTGCTTATTCCACCATTTTTTAAAGTTGCAAATAATGCACTAAAACCGCGGTAATTCAAAGTCAACACATTGCAAGTAATCGCATTTATATCGTTAGAATGATTCAAAGACTTATATATTTTCATACATTTGATTGTGTTATTCTGCTAAACATGATTGATTCTCTCAATCAAATAGTTATTGTTTGTGGAATTTTAACTAATTTCCATGAGCCAATAATAAAAAACACGAACTTATAGAGAAAAAAAATGTATTAAGACATAAAAAACATTAAGATTGAGTTTATTATATATATATACAATCATAAACAATAACAAATAGATTCTTTTATGATAAAATTCAACATAAATATATATAATTAGTATTTAAGCATAAATTTTTTTATATTTTATAAAACCGACTGAGTACATATAAATAAAATATTTATGTTCAAATTAGTCTATTGTTGTTTACTTTTGAATTAATTTGGATAAAATAATACTGGTGAAGGATTTTTTTATTTTTTTTATTTTATCACCATAGGCAATATTGCATTCCAAAATTTTAAATCTTTTATGAGATTTATTCCATTATTGAAATATTGTAAAACTTCAATTTGAGAGTCTTGTAATGTACAATAATATATACAATTTTTTTTAATATCAACTTTGACAGTTGGATTGTTTATATCATTTTTTTGTAAAACAATTAACTCTGGATCTTTAAAAATATATGTATATTTGAAATAAGTGAACTGCATAGATTTACTAAAGTTCATTGATAAAAGTCTTTTTAATTTTTGACTACATACTCAAAATTACTTTTAATTTTAAAATTTTAAAATAATTTAAAAAATAAAAATTATTTTTTGTGAAAATTTGACATGTTTAATCTTTTTTTAAAACAACAGATAAAGCTTAAGTAACAGATGAAATAATTTTTTGTTGACACAAACGGTACAACGGTATGCGCGACATAATGATAAGACACCCCACAAACAGTATGCGCAACATAATGATAAGACACCCTAAAGAGATTTATAAAACTCTACTATACATTTATATTTAAAAATTAATTTTTATTGTAAGTGAAAGCAAAGGGTTTAGAACACTAAACAACATTTTAACAAATTTATTTCTAACGTAATTTGCATTTTATTAAAAAAAACCCCGTTTTTTTCAGTGCGACAAAATTATAAGACAATTTTACAAAAAACTCTTTATTTGCAAACCACTGTTGTGGGCAATTAAAAATATTCATTTGATGTAAACACCACAGACATTTATTTAACTGTAAACTTTTGTGAACTGTAAAAAATTTAGTTTAGGTTTTTTTTTATTAAGTATAAAATAACCAATTAATTAATAATGGATCGCGCCGCATTGTCCAGATGAGAAATAAGTGCTCTCTAACTTATCAAAAATGGATCACTCTGTTAGTTACATGGCTAGAGCTGTTGGATGCAGTCGAACTGTGATTAAAAACTACGTTAATAGTCCTCATATGTTTGGAATAAAAAAAAGTCCCAGACATCCATCAACATTAAGTGACCATGATAGGCAAAGGTTGTTGAGACAAGCTTCAAATTTTGTTTCAATTCAAATTCAATTCAAATTGCTGCAGAAGCAGGTGTAATTGTTAACTTATGTACAGTTCAGCAAGTTATTCATGCTTTTTATCTTTCGCGCAAAAAACTTCAGCAAAAACCACCTTCGAAAACAAATCATATAAACAATCAAATAACTTTTCCAAAGAACCGTGTAGAATAGAAAGAAGAGTGGCAACAAGTAGTATTTTATGACAAAAAAAAGATTTTGTCTGATGGACCGGATAGATGGAACTATTATTTTCAAAATTTGCGTAAAGAACCAGTAACGACATTAAATGGGTGGTGGTCATGTAATGATTTGGTGTATGATTTGGTATCACGGAAAAATGAAGGCTAAGGAATATTTTTTAATTGTTCAAGAATTTTTAAGACGTGAAGCATCTGTAATAGGTGATGAAAATTTTGTTTTTCAGCAAGATAATGCTAGGATTCATAGAGCTAAGATATTAAAAGAATATTTCATCAGCAGTAAAATTGAAACATTGAAGTGGCCAACTAGATCTCCAGACCTAGACATTATTGAGAATACTTAGGCATAGCTGTCACATATAGTGTTTGAAGGTGGTAAACAATATAGTTTACTAGCTGACTTGAAATCATCCATAGCATCTGCATGGGATGCAATTGAAATTTCGTACATAAAAAAGTTGTATGGTTTTTTACCTTTTAAAATGATTGAAGTGATTCAAAAAAATGGTAAAAGTACCCACTATTAATTGTTTAAAATTGAGACGCCTTTATGACAATTTATATGAATTTTTTCCAAAAGTGTCTTATAATTTTTTCGTACTAAAAAAATAGTTTTTTTTAAATAAAATGTGAGTTAGGTTTAAAATAAAAATTAAAATGTTGTTTAGTTTTGTAATCCTTTTGCTCTCATTTACTATAAAAATTACTTTTTAAATATAAATGTATAGTAGAGTTTTATAAATATTTTTAGGGTTCCTTACCATTATGTCGCGCAGTGTAAGCCTCGATTTAATATGCGGATGTTTATTTATGAAAAGATCTATGAAAGTTATTCTAATGGTATATTATTATTAGGGTATTTAACATATATGATAATATTACTCCATATAACACATATAAAAAGCTGTTTTAGATTTAACATATATGCACTTTCAAATAATATTAAGCTTTTAAAATTAGATTATTTTACAGATATATTATATTTTTGATGTGGCTAATATTCCTAATATTCCTAATATTCCTAGTATTACTAATATTCCTAATATTCCTAATATCCACACCTAAAACAATATTTATTATTGAGTCTAAAGTATGTTTCAATAAGAAAATATATATTCATCATCAAGTCTAAAATATAAGCTTCAAGAAAAAAACAATATAAAGTATCATGTCTAAAATAAAAGTTTCTAAAAAAAATTGGACTGACCTTTAAGAATTATTATTTGATTTTTGATATCAGTGGATAAAAATGGTTTTACAACAGTATATGCAACTGGAAAAACAGATGGAACTAAAAGTAAATTGTATAAATACTTAAAAGAATGTTTTGAATACTATTCAATTTCAATCTTTATACCAAAATTTACTTAATGTAATAAGTATTTGTATTTTGTATGACATTTCGTTTTAATAATAATATTCTATTCTTATATTATACCTTTAAATTAAAGACAATTTATTTAAATTTTACATTAAAATCTTTTTAAATTCCTCCCCCTAAAACTCTAAAGCATAACTTTTCTCGGTTTTCTTCACAAACAAGTTTTCTTCATTGACAAGTTTTCTTCACAAAAAACAACAGTAAACTCCTGGTAACTCAAACCTCCAAGGGACGAAGAAAATGGGTCAAGATGGAGACTTAAACTTAAGCAAATGTTTGAGTTACCAAGTGATTTTTATGAGAAATTGGGTTCAATGGGAATTTAAAAATACTTTAAGTTATTGCTAGCTTTAGTTTTGGAGGTTCAAATTATATTGAGCTTAAAAAAATTATTCTAGGGTGGCATCTCTTTCTCTTTTAAACAAATATTATCATGGTTGCTGCTCAAATGAACTCCATCATCTCTAGTTTCATCAACCAAAACTCATTATTTTTTGACTTGTCATTCAGCAGAGTTGGATTCTTTTACTGTACCTACCCTTTTATGTTTAAAAAACTTTTATTAACTTAGTTTCTTTCCTGACACATCAATGCTTCGGAACTCTCTCTCCCAACTTTGCGTTTTCCTGACTCATACAACTTACAACTTTTCAAGTCTTTTATAAACTTTTTCTTAGCTTTTTATTACTTTATTTTGTTTTTTGCTCCTAACTTAATAGTGGTTGTCTTGCTGTTAGTGAATCAGTTAAAAAAAAAAAACTGGCTAAATCAGGCTAACATTTGAAGAAATATTATGAGATTTTATAAAAGGCAAAAGATCATTTTCCAGGCACTTCTTCTGCAGAGATTGACATTTATCACCTTTAAAATTACAGACGACTTGCTTTTATCTCCACAGTTACAAACTGATTACCACATTATACATTTCTTACCAACTTATCCAGCTTTGCATATTTATATTTTTTGCTGTAAGCTTTCACAATTTTTCCCAGCAAAAAAATTTGACATCATTCTTGATAAATAAATTCCAATAAATAAATATTTTTTTTAATTGGAAGTACATAGCTTTGCTTTAAAAGTTTTTGTATCAAATGTATATAATTAAATTTAATAACTTAAGCTATTAAAGTCAATATTTTTACAGCTACACTTTATATTAAATGACAAACTTTAATTCTGAACATAATAAAATTACATCAGAGTTATTTAAGTTTTTATTTAATAGTTACTGGAAGAGTAAAGATTGTAGAGCAAAACAACGATTGACAACTTGAAAGATTGCAAATTGTATGAATCAGGAAAGCAAGATAAAGGAAGCGAATTCCAAAGTACTGATGTTCGAGGAAAAAAACTAGACAAATAAGAGTTTTTGGAGTACTAATTTTGGAGCAACTACAGATAATAATTGTAAGTGGTCAGATCTTTTTGTTCGTTACTGTATTTATACTTTCATTAACATAAAAATTTAGAACTAAAAAGTTTTTTATATGCATTTTACATTTACAAAGTTTTATATGCACTTTACATTTACAAATTACAAGTTACAACTGTAGCTCTTACCATTAACACATATTACTTTATTTGTGTAACCAGGAAACTCTTTAACATACATACTTGATATCTATAAAAATTAAAAATATATAAAATATGAAAAAAAGGATAAGTAATGAAGGCAAAAATCTTATTATATTAACAAAAACAAATATAAATACCTTGTTGATAAGAACAACACCTAACAAATATAAAACATATTCTAATAACTTACAAGATTTTTTAACAAATTTATTATATAAAGATTTCCATATCAAACATAAGTAGTAACAATATAACCTTAACTAGTTGGGATTTTCAAATCAAATGTAACTTGTAAGAATTTTTAATATTAGGCATAACTTGTAAGGATTTTCATACCAAACATAGCTCAACCATTTTAATTAAAAAGATTTTTTTATTAGGCATGTAGCTGCAACTGTAAATTACTAAATGAGTGTAATTACTAAGTTGTACATAATTAATCTTTTTGCTTGTTTGAATAAAGTAACCAATACATAAAAAAAACATGAATTTCTTACTAAACCAATAAAATTTAATATTTCTTATCTAAACTTAACTTTCTGACAATAATCGTAAAAATGTTACCACTAAATTTTCATTTATTTCGGCCTTGATAATAAGTCATCACATTTTGATCATTTAGAACAGGAAGTTGATATTCATAATAATTTCTCCTTTGTGATTGAACACTTACAACAGCAGGTTTAACTGAAATAAAAACTTATTTTAGTTTTTAGTTTTTCTGCCAATCATAACAATCTTACAAATATGATAACTAATATATGGTTGCTGGGGTAACTTATTTAATCTTTTATTTTTTGTCTTGGTAGATTTAATTTATTATTACAGACCTCTCATGGAACCAATAAATTGAAAAACTTACCTTTGACTAAAATATTGATGGGATTAGTTTTTTTTAAAAAGTGTGTTTTTGTTTTAAATGATAAAATATAGATAAAAAAAAAGAAAAAAGAAACCATTATAGAAACTAAACTTAAAGATGGAAATATAAGGGTTTAAAATTTCAAAAAACATAATCTTAAAATTAACACAAACAGTTTTCATTTATTTTAAATCTTTTTATGGTTTAAAGATTCATTAATACAGCTACAAAGGAAGAAATATTTTCTAGTTTTTATAGTGTTATCATTATAATTAAATTGATAAATGGGCTATCCTTTCAAACTCTTAATGATTGTTAGCATCCAACATAATATAATTTTTAATCAAATCTTGACAAAAATATTCACTCAAAACATACACTACATTTTGCAGTAACAAAAACTGAAAAGACAAATTTTTTTTTTAACAAATACAGGCAGCAGAGGCATTTTTTGGTGTTAGATATAGTTAACTTGCAGACATGAACATGTAACTCCAAACATTTACATGTTCATGTCAAATAAGGATGCTTTGCAGAAATTGCAGCGATCAGAGCTTAAGAACAAAAAATACCCTAAAATCATAAATTAAAAACATACATTATACAATAAGGAAAAAAGTAAAAATGATTCATGCAGCAATTCATTAATTTATTTGACATCCAATGATTCGTTAATTCATTTTTTTTTTAACATCTTCACTTCCAACAAGGCTGCAAGCAACCACTATAAGAGTTGGAAGTTACTGGAAGAGAAAAGACTAAATCTGTAGAGCAAGATAACGATTGACTGATGACTTAAAAGATTGCAAATTATATGAATCAGGAAAGCAAGATGAAGGAAGCGAATTCCAAAGAACTGATGTTCGAGGAAAAAAACTAGAAGAATAAGAGTTTTTGAAGCACTTAGGAACAGTCACAGAAAAAGGATGAGACTTAATTGAATGGCGGGTAACACGAGAATGAATTTTAGTAGATGGCACAAGGGACGCTAGCTCTTTAGAGCAGTGCCCATTATAGTATTTGTAGAAAAGAGAAAGAGAAGCAACATTACGCAATGTGACAAAGGTTGGAGATTGGCTGCCAGAGCAGGTCCAACTATGTTTACAATGCGTTTTTGCATCTTGTCTAAAAGAGAAAGAGCATCATTAGAAGATCCGCCCCAGATGTGGCAACAGTATTCCATACAGGGACGGATTTGAGATTTATAGAGATAGAGAATAGAATCTGGAGTAAGAAAGTGTCGAGCTCGATAAAGAGATGCAACTTTAGCAGATGCTAATTTTGCAATGGATTTGATATACGGTTTAAAAGAAAGATCAGAAGTAAGAGTTAATCCTAGAAGATGAATGGTAGATGACTCATCTAGTACATTACCATTCATAAATATAGGAAGATCTAAATTATTACGATAACGATTGGCCGAATAAAATTGAGTTTTATCTGATTAAAGTTCACCAGCCACTGTGAGCCCCATGCTGTAGCAGAAGTGAGATCCTTTTCAAGCTCAGATACCCCCTCCAAGCAATCAGAGAGTGTAGGCTTCTTATTATGACAAGAGTAAATGGTAGTGTCGTCAGCGAATAATGCCACCTTAGATGTGAGAATATCTGGAAGATCGTTAATGTAAATTAAAAAGAGTATAGGGCCAAGGATTGAACCTTGAGGAACCCCTGAAGTTACAGGATGTGAAGAAGAGTGTTGCCCATCGAGGACAACTTTTATACTACGATTGGAAAGAAAGGACTCAATAATCTTAAAAACGTTACCAGCTACACCATAAGAAGAAAGCTTATGGAGAAGACCAGCATGCCAAACTTTATCAAAAGCTTTAGAAATGTCAAGTGCGATAGCCTTAACCTCTCCACCTCTATCTAATGCACGGTAAAACCTATCGGTTATTACTGTTAGCACATCAGCTGTAGAACGAGAAGACCGAAATCCATATTGATGATCAAGTAAGTTATTTGATTCAAGATGAGAGATTAAGTGTTTGTTGATTAAAGATTCGAAAACCTTGCTTATGACAGGAAGAAGACTAATGGGACGGTAGTTAGATGAATCAGATCGCTCTCCGGAATTTTTGAAAATAGGGATAACAGATGCTGCTTTCCAGCATGATGGAAAACAAGACTCTGATAAGCACTTGTTAAATAGTTTAGAAAGTATGGATGAAAGCTCCGGAGAACACCTCTGCAAGACTACAACAATAATGTTGTCAGGACCACAAGCTGTTGAAGAGTCTAAGCAGGAAATTACTTTAGATACAGAAGCTGAAGTGATGCGAATGTCAAGCAAGGGATCAACCTGTTTGACGGCTATGTCAGGTAAAACGCAACTAGTGGAATCAAGAGATGATATTGATGAAAAGTTCTTAGCAAACAATTCAGCTTTGTCTTTAGGTGAGGTGACAAAGTCTGAACCATAAAAAAGAGAAGGAATAACAGATTTGCCCTTATTATTGATACTGTTAAAGATTCTCCAGAAGTCTCGAGAGCCTAATTTTTGTGATGAGATACGAGATTTAATGACCTGGGAATAGCGAACTTTGGCGTCAGACAAAACCTTTTTACAATGGTTTCTGGCGATGGTGAACAGATGTCTGTTTTCTGGAGAATTGTTTTGCTGATAGATATGGAAGTAACGGTTTCGATTAGAAATTGCTGCAGCGCAATGTGAGGAAAACCAAGGAGAAGAGTGAGGCTTGACCTGGAATCGTCGAGAGGGAATAAAAGATTCCATGCCAGCCTGAATCCACGAAGTTATGTAAGAAGCACATTTGTCAGCAGGAAGACGAAATATTTCTACCCAAGGGCCATCACGAAGAAAATCACGGAAAGAGTCCCAGTCAGCTTTAAGGTAGTTGTATGTGGTACGATGATAGGGGGATTCTGATGAAGTAGAAGTATTTGATAATAGTTTTAGAGAGATCAAACCGTGATCAGAAGTACCTAAGGGTGAATGTGGAGAAATTGAGCACTGACTAGGATCCAAAACAAGACATAAGTCGAGTAGAGAAGGTAAATGATTCGGGTTGTCTGGAAAACGAGTTGGAAAGTTGACTATTTGAGTTAGAGATTGAGAAAGGCAAAAGTTGCGGGCCTTAACGCCAGCAGAGTCACTGACACTAGAGCCAAGCCAATCGGTGTGATGGGCATTAAAGTCACCAACAACGACGATATTGGCCGATGGATAAAGAGAGAGGGCTTGGTCGATTTGATCAGAAATAACATCAAGAATAGTGCAATCTTGGGATGAAGGAGAGCGATATAGAACAAAGAGAAAGGCGATAGAGTGAAGTTGTGCTAAACGAAAGCACATAAATGAATAGTCTGTAGATTCAAACCTAGTTTCACGACAAATGGGCAAGTTCTTACGAATGTAGATGCCCAGGCCAAGCATGTGATTATTGGAGTCTTTACGAATTAAAGAAAGATAACCATCAACACTAAGATCACAAGATGGGACAGCCGAACTCAAATTAGTCTCACAAAGAGCAAGTAGGTCTGGTGAACTTTGCAAGAGATAAGACTCAACAGAAGAAAAGTTACTTCGAAGACCACGAATATTGGTAAATGATAGGTTTAGAGAACTTGGTGATGACGATGGTTTTTTGTGTTTTTTAGTTTTAGGTACTTTAGTCATTTTAAATTTATAAAGAACTTGACTCAAGTATAGATAGTACTCAGTACACTATTTAGATTCAATGTATGTACTCAATGATAGTACTCAGTACACTATTTACACTATTTGACATTTAATGATTCGTTTATTTATAACACATTATACAATAAAGAAAAAGTTCAATGACTCGTTAATTTATTTGACATACATTATAGAATAAGTAAAAAAGTAAAAAAGTTCAATCCAATGATTTGTTATTAAAAAAAATTAGTTTTAAGTTACATTAAAATAATTCCCCCCCCCCCCCCCTGTTTTGTTGTATTTTACTATTTGCTAAATTGAATTAGGAAAGAAAAACTGACCTGGTTTCCATAAACTTTTTAAACTGAGTCCATCCAAATCAAATACAACAGTTATCTGGGTAACTTTAAAGCCAAGCTAAATAAATTTATAAAAAAGAACTTATACTTACACAGAAACTAAACTTTGTCAACAATATAATATGCCTTGTAACATCAGCATTAAAGTATAAAACTGATTTACACATTTAAAAGTTTTGAAACTTTAAATAATAACATTTCAGTAAAAGTAGTTTTTAAAGCTTTCATAGATCAACAAATAATTAAAATTGATTAGAAATTTTGATGCTAATTTAAAACAAAACTTGATTTTGGATGATTATTGAGATAAATAAAGTACCAAAACAACCAATAAAACAATCAATAAAAACAATTAGTTTAAATACAATAAGCTAAAACAAGTATTTAAAAAAAAATTGAAACAATGATAAACATTTTATACTTCTTCACTGCGTTGACTAGCTAGCCTTAAACCTTCCTTTGCTAAGTTTCTTCTATATTCTATAACTTCATCTGCTTTAACAGCATGAAGAATCCCTTAAGAAAATACTATTTATTTAGATTTTGTGTAAAAAATTTGTAAAAAAAAAATTATATCATCAAACTTAATAACAACAAACTCACCAAAGAAATCACATTGACCAATTGCATCATAAAAAACAGGTCGATTGTCTCTATCAAATCCAAAATAATTACCTGGGTAATACTTTTGAAGAACCTATATATATATATATATATATATATATATATATATATATATATATATATATATATATATATATATATATATATATATATATATATATATATATATATATATATATATATATATATATACATTAGGGGTACCCATAAGTAATCAATTATTTTAAGTGTGGTATATGGCAAATATATTATTCTAGCTCAGACAGTGAATGCATAAACATGTGTAATATTATTTAATATTATAATTCGTGGCCTTCAATTTTTAAATTTAAGTATAAACTTTTTTTTTTTCCTTAGAAATAAAATAGCGGACGCTCAACTAACTGAAGAAGATTTACGTCATTGTATGCTGCTTCATTTTTGGTCGGGTGTTAATGCAATAGTTGCAACAAAGATTATGAGCAATTATGAGCATGGAATTGGAATTCTTCCAACAAGATGGCAGAAGATCCTAGATAACGATGGAGATTATATAATCGATTAAAAATAGAATTTAATAAAAATAAACTCTTTTTTTTTGTTGAAACTTTAATAATTGATTACTTATGGGTACCCCTTATATATATATATATATATATATATATATATATATATATATATATATATATATATATATATATATATATATATATATATATATATATATATATATATATATATATATTAGCGTGCAAAAGTCTATGGTTGTACTCAATATCGTAGCAAAAATTTTTTGCTTTATTATGTAAACGCCTCGAATCCACGTAAAGGCAAGTTGCCTGAAATTCATTTTAATCTAAATAATTTCTTATGTAAATATTATATATTAATAATATCTATTATAAAATACAAGCTTTATTACTGAATATATATTGTAGACAGTTTTTTTTTGTGCAATTACTGAATATAATTCTTAATTTTGAGTCTGTTTTGGAAAGTTCTATGTATGTATAAAAGCAAAAGTCCGCTCAGTTTAGTATAATAAAAGTCTTGAGTTTGATCCAGTGAGTTTGTGTTTGTTGAGTTGATAGTATATTTCATGTTTAGCATTAAACATTTTCTCAATTATGTTTTGAGTAAATTATTTAGAATAATATTATTTACTTAAAATAGAAGTTGTATTACTGAATATATATAGTAGACAGGTTTTTTTATGCATAATTACCCAATAAAATTTTTAATTTTGTACGCATACTAACAACTTGATACCGATTATTTTTTAAGCAAGATTTGTGCAAACATGAGTCAAAATAAGAAAAAAAGGGCAGAATATTCAATTAAATTATGTGCGAAACTTCATATTTTATCTGAAGAAGGGTACTTGTGTGATAAAATAGCAAAAAGATTTCATATCAAGTGTAATAAACACATTAACACGATTGAGAACAACAGAGACGAACTCAACTAAATGAAACGACCAAGAGACAACTACATAGAGTTAGACTAAATAATTGTATAGCGTGTCAAAAACCCTAGCTACCCTGTGTAAATAAACAAAAATGGATATTGGATTCGTGGACATTCGTGGATTCAATGGAAAAAAGTCTTTTGGACTAATGAATCAAAGTTTAAACTATTTGGAGCCAGAAGATGTCTATATGTCCAACGATTGGTAGGTGAACATTTTAATAATATTTGTTTGAATTATAAAATGAGTTTTTAGTGAACATTTTAATAATATTTGTTTGAATTATGAAATTTGTTTGAAATGAGTAGATGATTCAAGTAAGACTTTTGCACATACACATTTTGTGTATATACTTTTAAATGATCTTTAATTTTCAAACCGGAACCCTAAATCAATGTAGCACTCTTTGGATGTTCTTCTTATTTTTCAGTCAATATAGCAGCATTCCTTGCATGTTCTACCTACTTTAATTCAGATAAAACTCAATTTTTTTCAGCCAATCATTATCGCAATAATTTAGACCTTCCTATATTTATAAACGGTAATGTACTCGATGAGTCATCTACCCTAGGATTAACTTTCACTTCTGATCTTTCTTGGATTATATATTAAATCCGTTGCAAAATTAGCATCTGCTAATTTTGAATCTCGTTATCGACACTTTCTTACTCTGGATTCTATTCTCTATCTCTATAAATCTCAAATCCGACCTTGTATGGAATACTGTTGCCATATCTGGGGCAGATCTTCTAATGATGCCCTTTCTCTTTTAGACAAGGTGCAAAAACGCATTGTAAACATAGTTGGACCTGCTCTTGCAGCCAACCTTCAACCTCTGTCACATTTTCGTAATGTTGCTTCTCTTTCTCTTTTCTACAAATACTATAATGGGCACTGCTCTAAAGAGCTAGCGTCTCTTGTGCCATCTACTAAAATTTTCTCTCGTGTTACTTGTCATTCAATTAAGTCTCATCCTTTTTCTGTTACTGTTCCTAAGTGCTCCAAAAACTCTTATTTGTCTAGTTTTTTTCCTCGAACATCAGTTCTTTTGAAATCGCTTCCTTCATCTTGCTTTCCTGATTCATATAATTTGCAATCTTTTAAGTTGTCTGTCAATCGTTATCTTGCTCTACAATCTTCATTTTTTCTCTTCCAGTAACTTCCAACACTAATTAGTGGTTGCTTGCAGCTTTGTTGGAAGCGAAGATGATAAAAAAAATAAAAAATAAAAAATTTGTCAGTTCATGTATATAATTAGTTTCCTCAAATAAATTTAATGGTTTTTATATAAAGTTTTAAATAAACTTAAATTTGTCATTTTCAAAGTTAGCGTCATTAAGAACCATTTTTTACCATAAACAGTTAATTTATTACCACATACATTACCAAATTTATTACTATAGGTAATATAATATAGGTAATATAATATAAGTATATATACTAAAGACCCTTAAACCCTCTAAAAAAACACTAATTGTTTTTTGTGCGCTGTGATTATCTTGTGTGAACAATTTAATCTTAATTTAAGCTTAATTGTTCAATATTTAGATAATGCTTACATCTTCTATCTAATGGCAATTACAAATACATTATTAAAAAAAATAAGAAAACTTGGAACTTAAATGAAACAAAAATTTATAAAAATTCTAATAATAATAATTTCATGTAAACACTTTTAGAATTAAATGCATAAAAACTATAGTTTTTGTATTAAATTAAAAATCAAGAAATTTCACAAGTTTTCTTTACTTTTTTTCATAACTTTTTTAAAAAAATTGTTAACTTTTGAACTTTTCGTAAAACTTTGCTTCATTTGAGTACCAGGTTGTCCTATTTTTGAAGAAATCTAAAGGATTGAATTGTTTTAACCAACAAGTGCCATACTAAAATGTTGCATGTTATAAAATCTGTTTAAAACTTTTTTAAAACTAACACAAAAATAAACTTTGAACTTTTAGCTATAATATAGCTAAAAGACAATATTACTAAATAAAATTTAACAACTAAATAAATAAAAATAAAAATAAATGCACGAGTATAAACAAAAACACAAAGTAAGTTTGATTGTCACTTAATTATAAATATAAAATTTTTTTTATGGTTGTTGTTTTTTTAAATAAAAATGCTAACTCATTTTGAATTTGAGTTAAATAATTCTAAGTACTGAGTGAGTATTTAATTTAATTAAAATAGAAAACAACAACCTCTAAAAATTTTGTCATATGAACACAATAAAACAAAAAAACAACAAACCTTACCTCTAAAGATTTTGCCATGTAATATGAACACAATAAAACAAACAAAAAAATCTAGTTATTAAGCAAAAAAATACTTGAAATTTATTTTTATAATTTTACACTTAGAAGAAAAAAATAAACTACAATAAAAAGTATAAATATGTTTTAAACTTTTAAAAAATATTTATACTTTTATGACAAAAAAAAGGTAAAAAAATTTCAGATTTAAAATACTAATTTCTAATTAAAAATTTCGCTATTTAAATAATAATTTCTAATTAAAAATAAAAATTAAACTTTAATTTAAATTATTTTTTAAGTAAATTTTAAACTTTTAAAAAATTTATTAAAACCATAGAATTTTTTGCTTCTCTATTCATCTCCTCAAAGTCAAAAAGGAGGGAGGGGGGGATCTTTAACTCTGAAACACAAACCTTGACAAACAAGACTGCTGTGCAGAGAAATTAGTTAACAGCAGTGGTGGTGATCAAACTCCACACTTCTTGGTAACAAAGCAATCCTTATACAAATATACGACTCCACAATTTATGCTTGTTATTGCTACCACTCTCACACACAAATATATAATATAATTAATATTATCAGATTTTAATAAAATACTTTTTTATTATTTGATAAAAAATTTTAAAATTGCACAAAATAATTTGAAATTAAAATGAAATTAAAAAATAAATAATTAATTAAAAATGGTGTTAAGCAAAGTATTGTTAACTATAAATAAAAATAACAAATCATAAATAAAATAAACAAGTATACAAATATTAAAAACAATAAAACTATATAAATAAAGTTGTAAATAATTAATAAAAAAATAATCAGGTACCAAAGATCAAAAGTAAAAAGTGAACTAATAAACAAATAAAAAAATGTTAAGTTGTGAAATAAGGGAAAAAATCTTTAAAAAAAAAACCTTTGAAAAAAATTAAAAACTTTGTAGAGAAATCATTATTAAAGACCCACTGCAGTGATTTTATTCAACTCATTTTGTAAAAAACATTTCTAGAAAAATTATCTTGAAAGATTTATTAAATCATCTTGTAAAATCATTTTTATACAAGGTCATTCTGATTGAGTAAATGAATTTCATTTTTTAAAAATTTACAATAAGCAAGTTCTTCATTTTTGCAACTATGATGATTTTCAACATATAGTTTGCCATTGCTTGCAAGTTTTCTTCGAATGTTATTGTCATAAAGCAGTAGTTTGGCCTGGCTGATGAATTCCTAAGAACAAAATATTTTTAACTAATTAAAAAATTATAAAAATCAATTTGTTGCTAATTAAAAAATAACACAAAGACAAACTATAAAAACAAAAATGAAATTTTATTTTATGCTAATACAATTTCTTTGTTTAATTTTTACAATGGTATGAAATTTGTTATTAAATATTTATTTTTCTAGTTATTTATTATAATAGGGTTTACCAAACATGTTTTTTGTGTGGTAATGTTTACCAAACATGTTTTTTGTGCGTTCATGTTTACCAAACATGTTTTTTGTGTGGTCATGTTTACCAAACATGTTTTTTGTGTGGTCATGTTTACCAAACATGTTTTTTGTGTGGTCATATTGACCAAGCATATTGTTTAGGTATTTACTTACTTAAACTAAGTCATTCTGATTTTCTAACATAAGCTACTATTGTATAAAAGATCTGCTTCTGCTTTAAGTAAATAAAGAATACTGTTGACTTTATATTGAACCATTAAATATGCCTATAGTATTATCATTTAAAAGTTTGGTGTACTTACATAAATATATTTATACTATCAAATATTAAAAAAAAAAACTCTTTCATTTAAAGGGATCCTAAAGCCGAGACATGTTCTGTTCATATTAAAGAGAATGAATAAACAAGCTTCTGGCATTTGTTTTTATTTTAAAAATCCAACCACTCCATTATAAAATGATGGCACTAAAAAAAACTAGATAGAAAATGTAATTGTACATTGTTAAAACATTAGGTAGAGTAATGCATTTGATGGGAAAATAAGGACTTGCATTTTGTAAAATTCATGGAAAGTGTATGGAAAAATCAATCCAAACAGTTAATTCTGAAAATTTTGCAAATGTGCAAGAAATAGCTCACAATAACGCCAAAATGTATTAACATTATTGGAAAAAAATGCATACAAGAGCGATTAATTAATGAAATCAACACTTCAAATAACTACTTAATTCTAACAGACAAAGTACCAGGTGCAAACCATCAAATTCTATTTGTATTTATGAAATATGTAAATGCATAAATAGAAATTAGATAAATATTTCTTAATTTTTTAAATATTGATAAAATAACAAACTGACATATTGATAAAAGTTTAACAAAATTCTATAAAGAAAAGGGAATTGATATAACTTCATGAAGAGGTCAGTATTACAATGGTGCCGTAAACATGCAAACTATACAAATAAAAAAGGTGTAGCCAGTTACATTAAAGATTCACCAAAGATAATTGTAACACATTGTAACACATTGTAGCTTTCATAATTTGAATTTATCAATGGCTACAACATCAAAAATATTAATCATTGTAAACATTTAGAGGTATAAAAAAATATATTAATTTTTTTCAATACCTCTCCAAAAAGAGAATGTTTACCAGAGCTGAGCCAGAGTTTTAGAGAATTTTTTTACAAACCAAAAGAAAAAAGATTTTGATAGAAATCTGAAAAAGGTGATCAGAAGAAGATGCTGCATATGATCACTTTTTTCTTGCTATACCATTTATGGTCATTGCTATACCACTTATGGTCAAGACATTGGAGATTACTTTAGGATATAAAGCAATTTAATGCAGAGATAAGCGAACAAATGTCATATTCCCATAAAAAGAAATGAGACTGGCTCTTTCCTTATGTACTTACCAAATTCGAATTCATATTTGGTATTGTAACTTTGTACCACTTACTTCACCTGTTAGAGTATATTGCTGAGAGGTTGCAAGAATACACAATTGACATTGTGTATGCATGCTGTGTTTAAGAGAGAATTAATGATTTGAACCATTTATAGGAAAATGTTGAAAAGGAAACTGAAGTATGTTACTAACAAGCTACATGTATTGCAAGTAAATTATTTGCAGACCAAATGATTCACAGAATTATTATGAAGCAGATGCACAGAAAATATGTACCTGCAACAAATTCATTTGAATGTTATGAGCTAGGCTTGATTATATCTATTCTTGACACCATTATTTTTTTTTTATTTTTTTATTTTTATTTTAATTCACCTCCTCAAGGCCGAAAAGGCCACTACAGACGAGGAGGCTACTTATTTGTGGCTATAACCCTCTCTCAACTCTATAACTCCGAAACACGAACCTTGATGAACAAGGCCGCTGCGCTGAGAAACGAGATTATTTCCGAAATCAAAGTACAATACCAAAAAACAAATTTGATTGCTGCTAAATTTTTATGCTTAATTCCTTCAATAATCTGCAGCAAGGAAATAACTGTGATTCAGGAGTTAGTCATAATGTACAAAAGTGATTCTCCAAACTCATAAACTGAAGATCAAGAGTTAATGTTCTGGTAAAGAAATTAAATGGCCTTAAAATAGACCTAATACTTTAATAAAGCCATAAAAATCTGCAATGAAAATTAAAACCTTTTGAACATTTTTTTTCTCCACATCCTAGAAAATTGTATGGAAAAAGCCTAATTTTTTAGTAAATTATTTTCCAAATAACATTCTTTTTGTACAAAAATTTTTTTTGTACACATTTTCTTACTATACAAGGTATAGATATAATATAAAATATGAAAACAAATTATGAATTGTCATAAACCAAAATTGGATTTGTAATGCAATAGATCAATCTGTATTTATACAAATTTATGTTTTCACGCAAATTTTATAATAACAATGTAGGATGATCTTTATTTTGTATTCTATAAGTGTCTCTATTTTGAAAAAACTACCCCCCTTACAAAAAATTTTATAGATATTAAATTTGACTTTTTTTATTTTTAATTAAGGTTTTTAATAAAATTTCTAATAGATATTTTTTAATATTGAAACATTACCTGAGGTGTATTAAACAGAAACCCATTTTCGCCATGTGTTATTAATGAGTTATTACCATCATTTTGGCGAGCAATTACAGGAATTTCTAATTTCATTGCCTAAGAAATAATAATTAACATTCAGAAATATTTTTAATAACGTTGTTAAAAAATTAAAGACATTATCCTCATACAAATGACATCATCATACAATATATAATGGTTATTGAATTTGCTTATTAAATCAATGACCTCAATAACAATTTAAAGAACAATTTAAATAAAATTATAGTAGATGGTTCTAGATCATCAACATTTATTTAGCAAAAAAAATATCTTATGACTACTTTGCATTTTTCTAGCAAACATCTTTTTTTTCTATGTATTCCCAAAAGAAACAGTCATTTTCAAAATTTTCAAAAATGGCGTTTTGTGTTTAATGCAATAGGATTTAAAATGTAAGTGATAATATAAAATTTTGTTATAAGTTTCAGCTAGCTTTAAAATGCAAGTGATAGTATAAAATTTTGTTATAAGTTTCAGCCAGCAGCAGATTCAGCAGATGTAACTAAAAAAATAGTTCAAAGCTTGATCAGAACTATAAAGTTTTCCACATTGAATCTCATCACTTCCATCACTGAATCTTCTAGAGATTTCCATCACTGAATCAGTACTAAAATCGTTATTAAAAAAATAAAATGGATTAAAAAGTAATTGCTAAAAAAGTGCCATAACTCATTATTATTAATAACCTTTTGTTTAAAATTGTCACTCGGTTACTAACCCAATGATTTAAAAAAAGAAATTAAATCTTATAACAAAACTTGATTTAAAGTCAATGTAATGTTTGAAAAATTTGTTTTTTCAAAAGATAAAACAATTTTAAACAATTTAAAATCATTAAAAGTAATGCTATTTTTCATTTTTTGACAATTAAGAGTAAATTATTTTTTTATAAAAAATTAGCAAAAGTAAAAATTTTAGTCTTAATAACAATATAGCTATCGTGCAAATTCAACTTTTAAATAATTGAACATAAAATGAAATAGCTTGGTATTTTATTTTATGTTCAATTGTTCAATTTACTTAATGTTCAAACTGTTTTTTTTTTCTTTAATTAAATTTTTAATATATTTTGTCATCTAATGAAATTAGATTAAACATTTCAAATTTCATATGTACAAAATAAAATCAACCTTCATTGTAAAACCCATTTATTGTACTATTCATTAATTTATGAGAACTTTGTTTTAAACATTTTAAACTCTATACATTTTCTGTTTTGATTAAGATATTTTAATTCTTCTAGGGGACCACAAAAACGTTTTTTAGGGGGTGTTCACAAAAACGTTTTTTAGACGGTGTTCGCAAAAACATCTTTTACTTTTTTTTGTTAAAAAGTACTGGGCAATTATTAAACAAAAAATGAAAAAAAAAAAAAAAACTTTGCAAAAAATATTAAAGAAAAAATATATGTCATTTAAAAAAGCATCAAACAGTATTGATGATATTATGTCTGCAAGCTTATGTGTTTGTTTGCTTATGGCATTTGTTATTCTGTGCACAAGCTTATGTGTTTGTTGGCTTATGGCATTTGTTATTCTGTGCACAAGCTTATGTGTTTGTTGGCTTATGGCATTTGTTATTCTGTGCACAAGCTTATGTGTTTGTTGGCTTATGGCATTTGTTATTCTGTGCACAAGCTTATGTATTTGTTGGCTTATGGCATTTGTGCACAAGCTTATGGGTTAAAGCAAAAGTTTAAAGTTTTTTTAGATGTCCACAAAAATAAATTAAATTTTTTAAAGTATTCAAATTATTACTTAGTTCTAAATAAAAATTGATCAACCTCACACTTTATTATGTACACACTTTATTATGGACACAAACGAAAAAATCAAGTAGAATTAAAACAAAATTGTTTGTTAGTCTGATAAGTTAGTAATCAAAAATACGATACAATTTAATCTTTTCTTTAAAGTAAATACCCCTTAATGTTAGTTGCTGAGGACTTCATTTACAATGCTTCACAAATCACAATAACTGGTGGTTACAGCTAGAATTGACTAATAAATCGTTAACTTTTTTGTTATTAGATGATGAAAGATGATAAGATGACCAACACAAAAAGAGTTATAAATTATTGCAAAAATTAATTTTTTTTTTGAATTAGGAAAGTTTCTTTTTTTTAATAATGACTATCTTTAAAGTAAAGGCTTTTAAAAACTTCTGATTTTTTCTTTTCTCATCAAGTGATGATAACACTTATTCTCTAATTGAGCAATGATAACACAATTTCTCTACTCATGTATTTTATTTACTAGCTATTCAAACTCATTCTGAGTTACCATTTTTTTCTTATCACATAATCAATATATGTATGAATCTTATTACATAATTAGTGGTGTAATGGTAAGTAGCTTGTTTTGTAAATTAGAAGTTTCAAGTTTGATCCCACACCACATCCTTGGTAATACTAGGCTCAACTTGTTTGGGGAGGTGAATTACATTTGAAAAAAAAGAACAGACACAAACTTTACAATCAAATACTAGGCTTTATGTGTTTTTATTTAAGTTTATTCTAAGTGTTTTTATTTAAGTTTATTTTTATTTTTTTATTTTTAAGATTTTATATTATCTTAAATAAGTTATTTTAATTATGAAAATTAAAATGAATTATATATATATATATATATATATATATATATATATATATATATATATATATATATATATATATATATATATATATATATATAAATATATATATATATATACAATATATATATATATATATATATATATATATATATATATATATATATATTTTAAATAGAAATTAAACTTATCATCAGAATCCTTAGTATACTTTATTTAAAACAAACAAACAAAAAAATACAATAGAAATAGAAGATGAAACAGAAAGTAGTTTCTAAAACAATCAACAGAATCTATGGCAATATGTTATTTTGATAAATGTATGACAGATATCAAACAACAAATCAAGGAAAACAAAACTTTAAAAACCATTATAAACACACTTTACAGAACTTATTTTTCTAGCATTAAATATGAAACAAGTAATTAGATAGTAGAATTAAAGATACCTACGACAGTAAATTGTGTTGAGCTGAACATTGTCATGCAATCATTTCACTAGAATAAATCAGCCAATTGAATGTCCTATAAATATTAAAATGGTAGATAATTTAGCAGTTTTCAACAGCATTTACAGTTCAAGGAAGATTATGGACATACCAAAAAAAAAAGATAAGTAAAGAAAGGTTAGAAAAAAACAAAATGACTTAAACCCACATTTATCAAAAACAACAATTTTGATTCAAAATTTTCATTGCAAAAAATTAAATTATCATTAGGATAAAGAAGTTTTTTTAAACATCCATATTGTTGTTTAACATCCATATCTAACTAATTGTCCTATTAAATTTTATGTTCATTTATTTGAGCTCTAACCAGATTCAGAATTCAAGGTAAAGATATTTATGTAAAAAGCAGACTTTAAAGTTATTTTTTAAAGCTATTAAAAAGATTAGAGCAAACATTAAAAAGCATAGAGAAATCATAAAGAAAAATATTGATTGAGTGATTACCATCATGTACTAGTAACATTAGAATATGATATAAAAATATTTTAACATCATTTACTAATAACAGCAGTAGATAAACTGAAATAACATCAGTAGATAAACTGTAATGTGATAACATCATTTACTAGTGACACAAGTAGATAAAAAGAAATAAGATAACATCATTAGATTGAGTAAAATATGGTAACATTATTTAGAAAAAACGCTTTTATATTAGAGATGAATACTTTTGTGAAAATTAAAAAAAAAATTATTTTAAACAAATACCAAAAAAAATTAGCCTATGTTCAAATCAACCTTTAAACTTAAATTAACTTTTGTTTAAGTTATAAATTTTTAAGAATTTGAAAGGTACAACAAAATATTATAATAAAGCATAACAAATTAATAATGTAATATGTTATAAATGTAAACAAGTAAAAAGCTTTTTAAATAAAGTAGGTAGTAAGTGTAAATGAGTTTGCCTAAAAATTATTTGAAACTGTGTAGCTTGATTTATTGAGTTTTAATGAATGCTTATTTTTATTATAAGTTTAGAATTTTTTTGTTGTTTATTTATATTTTTTAAATTTAAATCTTTTTTTTTTTACATTTTAGATTTTTAATAACAATTTTTATTATTTTCTTGTTTCATTTTTATGTTTATTTTTTCATTTGTTTGCATGTGTTTTCTTGTTTGTATTCTTGTTCATTTTTTTGCATGTTTAATTTATTTTCAAGGTGTTGAATTTGATTTGTTTGACATGCTGAAACAATGTTTTTTCAAAACATTGTTTCAGCATGTCAACCAAATCAAATTCAAAAATAAATAAACCTTTAATAGTTAATGCAAGAAACACTAATAATCATTTAAACTTTGCTTTGAAGTATGAAAAATAATTTACTTTAAAAACTAATTTAAAAATTAAATAAATTTAACTGATTAAAAAAATAATTTTATAAATGTTAGTAAAAGTATATAAATTCATTAAATTGTAAAAACTTCTAACTTCTAACAAAACAGCAGACATTCCTTCACTAACAGAAGAATTAATAACTGCAGTACTCTGTGTAATCAATGCATGAACACAGCAGCACGCAATTGTGGGGAACATATAAATTCCAGAGCAGCTAAAAAAAGTAAAAATTTTATATCTTACCAGCTGGTAAGATTTATATTATCTAATGTTGACATTAGATAACATAAAATTAGGTAAAAATAAAATCTAAATATTTTGTTTTAACTATCCATTCTTAATACAGTTATAAAATTTCTTACTTAGAAATCACTTAACAAAAATAATTTTCATTCTAATAAAAAATACCTTTTGATTTTGAGCATTATCACTTTAAGTATTATCAATTAAGAAAAATAATAAATAAAAAATAATAAAATATATTTATAATTAAATATAAAAACATTGTTAGTTTATTTTTAATGTAACTTTAATATTTATTATTTTATCAGGAAATAATGAAAAAATAAATAATAGTAAGTACAAAATTAACAATAAAAAATTGACAAAGTTAGTCCTCAATAGACAACAAGAAGTTATAATAAATACACAAAAAAAATAAATAAAAAAATTGATAACAAAAGTTAAAAATAAAAAAATTTAAAAGTAATTGACAATATTTAAGCTGTGGTTACATTACAAAATAAACAAGTACTTGTTAATAAAAGGCTGAGAGAAATTTTATTTATTTAATATTTAAAAAAATCAGAATTTAAAAAAATAAAAAAAATCCCATTTTTTTTATATTATACCTTTCCAATTTCTTTTTACACATTTGGGAATAACATACTTCCAACTAAATGAAAAAGTCATCTGTATAAAGATTTTGTTTACAAAGTGTTTACAGTATAGTTTGCTGCTATCTTATTATTAGGCTAATAAGTTATTCAAATTTTTGATTTTTTTTAAGACCTTAACATTAAGAGATGAAACTTTTTTTCAGGGACTGTGAAATAATATATAACTTTATGATTCGATTTAAAAATGTCCTCCATAGACCACTATTTTAAAACTAGCTAGTTTCTTTTTTGTATCACTTAATTCAGTATTTTTCAGTTTTTCTTTTGTTATACAAAACCTTGCTAAAGTTACTTTTTAATGTGTAAGCACATTTTTTATAATGTAATATTTAAAATTATAAAGAATATTTCATTATTTAAATCTTTTTAAATAGGGATGTATAAAATAAGTAGTGATATAATAAACAAAAACAAGAAAACCTGGCAAAGCAACCATGAGAAAGCAAAGGCAAAAAGAACAGAAACCAATAAAATTGAAAAACAACTTGACAAACTAATTAGAATTCTAAATGCACTTGTTGTTTTAGGAAGGTTCACTTATTTGGCTTCTTCAGAGAAATCTGTTTTTGGAAGATGCAAAGTTATCGCAAGTGAATTAATCTCATTATCGAACAAACTGAATTTCCCAGTGATAACCGAAAACTCAATTTCAAAAAATTTTGAAAATTTAGTGAATACAAGAGATCAGAAGGTACAAATAATCAGTGTCAACTGTTATAATGAAATATTTTTTGGCAAATAAAAAAGTATGGTTGAGTAATGAAAAAAAAAAGTTGAAAGTAATGGAAAAGTAGGAAATGTTACTTCAAATGTTCCAAATCATCCATCTAAATGTATCAAAAATAAAGTAACTGTTGTCAGCAAAACCATCAAATAGAAATCACTGACTCTGATTCTAGTAACAGTGAAAGAGAGACTGACGATGATTTAGTCCCACCTATTACTAATTTCAATAGACCTAAAAGAAAAAGAAAAGCTTTAGTAAAGAATGTAAAGTTAAGTACACACCAAAGCAAAAAGGTATGTCATCAACTGTCAGAAGAAGCTATATATAAAGCAGTTATGAAAGAAGCTGATCGAATCAAAGAAGAATTTAAAGAATTATGAAAAAATCTTTATGGCCACTTCATTTTGGTGGCAAGAAGATTAAATAAGTTGTAGTTTTAAAAAACAATGAAAATAAAAGCAGCCTTTTAGAGGATGGCAATGCTAAAACAATTGTTTCAGCATTGATTAATTTGTTAAATGAGTTTGATATACTTATACTGTAACACATTAAAACAGTTTCAAATTTTTGGAATAAAGCTCACTTGCAGATGACCACAATGTTAGATGCAACAGGGAGACTTGAGAAAATATATAATCAGTTGAGAAATTTACAGAAAGCAGCAAAGAGAGGTTGAGCTACACAGAAAGCTAAAGAGAAAGCATTTGTTGAACCCCTAGAAAAAATATTTAAGATTTTACATGCTGAGTCAAAAGACAAAGCATTTCTTTATGCTAAACTAGGAGATGGTTGTGGTACAAGTTCAATGGTGCAAGTTAATAATAAGTTTGCAATAAAGGTGCAGAGGGAAAAAGAGAGAGATGATACAATAATGTCCAAGCTAAACGAGAAAAAGTGAGGAAGATTATAAGTAGGGTGAATAATGAAGTAGCAGTTGAAAAACTTGATTCAAAAAATTCATATGGAGTCTATGCTTTGGCTTCATTCTCAGCTGTTGTTGGTTAAACTCTAGCTGAGCTAGTGGTCAAACTTGGTCAATTCAACTGAGCTTGGTCAATTCAACATAGCAGAATAAAACACAGGGATGATGCAATGATAAAGTTAAAGGACAATTTTTGTAACAAGATAGTTCAAGATGTTCCATTTGTAGTCTATGGAATATTGGTACCTGACATTTTTGGAACTATGAACACATGGACCATTTACCTATTCTTGTTTCCAAGCAAGATGTCGAATGTATTTTGAATGTGCCTAAGTTCCCTAACAGCACAGGAGAAGCAATGGCGAAGTGCAGTGGTCGCAGCAATCAAAAACTGGTACTTAGTTGAAAAAGTGGAAAGCATTGCTATTTGACACCACTGCCAGTATCTCTGGAATTCAAGCCAGTGGAACTATTCTAATTGAAAAAAAAATTTAAAAAGCATTACAATATCTAGCATCGACATCACATATTTGAGGTCCTCCTTGGAGACATATTTGACTTGTTGGCTGGACCATCTACTGGACCTCATATTTTGTTGTTTAAAAGAGTTGATGGTTTATGACAGAACTGCGGATGGTATGTCACATAAAAATATAATAACCATTTTTAACAACAACAAAGTGATGATGAAAGAAATTGAGAAAATAACAAAGTGATGATGAAAGAAAACACACGATGAAATGTGGAATTTGCTGTGTGACGTTTGGAGAAGGAGAGTCAGCCTCGTGATGACTATAGAGAATTCCTTAAATTATCACTAATTTATATGGGACAAATCCCACTTTGAGGCATCCATCTGGTGGCACCTGAAGCAATGAAATGTACCTGATAGATGGCAAAAAATATCTATTCATTGAAGATTTTCCACTTCTGGTCTTAATTTTGAATGCCTGATTGTGAGACAAATGTAGTTCGTTTGTTTAAGATATTCATCTGTTTTGTGTATATCCAATCATGGTTTAAAGCATCTCACACCATTCAAGCTCCATTAAATGATTTTATGTACGTAGAAAGGTTAGAATTGTATAAATCAATCAATTCAACAGTTGCAAATATGGAAATAAAAGTATTTTGTTGTCATATATAATTAAAGAACTAATTGCCTTCATTTCCTTTTTTGATGAACGACTATGTGCAGCTGACAAGGCTAAAATGGTTCAGGCAATGTAAATGTTGGTGTTAAAACTCATCCTAAATGACCACAGATCAAGGAAAAAAATATTGCATCACTAAACTCTGTGAACATTGTTACCCAAAATATCATGATGTCTAGGATTTCAAGTTCTTTGAAATCCTAGACATCGCATCAGACTTGCTGAAAAATAATACTAATTTGTGGAGCTAGAATATTGCCTTTGAGGCAACTCGACAGATTGTTTCTAGATTGAGTGTTGTGAGTGACAGAGCAGAAAGAGGAGTTGCGTTCATCCAAGAATACAATCAAATCCTCACTAAAGATGAATAGCAAAAGCAGGCACTGCTACAAGTAGTCAATGGTTATCAAACTTAGGTTTTCTGGTTTGCAGCATTTGAAAATTGAAAAATTATTGAAATTTTTGAAAATGCAAACATACAACATATTACTTGGTGTTTACGTTTAAAATTTTTAAAAATTTCATACACAATGTGGCATGCTTAAATGTTGGGATATATATATATATATATATATATATATATATATATATATATATATATATATGCGGTAGTGGTGTAGTGGTAGAGCGCTCGCTTCATGAACGAGTGGTTCCGAGTTCGATCCTCACCACGTCCCTGGTAGTACTATATATATATATATATATATATATATATATATATATATATATATATATATATATATATATATATATATATACATATATAGTAAAATTTGATATATATATATAGTATAATATAGCATATATATATTTAAATATATATATACATACACACACAAAAATTATTTTGCAGATTTAATTATGTGTAAGACTGAAAATTTTATTAACAACAACTATTATACTGTCACAATGAACTCATCCCCTCAGTATTATCTTGTTCTATCTACATATGTAATAAATAAAATGTTCTATTTAATATGTAAAATAAGTACAGAAAAAATATATATTTAAATAAATAAAATGTTCTACCTGATATAATATATTATATTATATCACATGGAGATGAAAAAATGAAATTTATGAAACTTATTCCATGATGGAATATATGTATACACACACACACACACACACACACACACACACACACACACACACACACACACACACACACACAGATATATATATATATATATATATATATATATATATATATATATATATATATATTTGTCATTTATTTCTACATTTTTGTTGAGATCATTAAATTATTATTATAATATATTATTATTATAATTCTTATTATATTTTCTTTTGTTTCCTTTGAAAACCAGTGGCTCATGGTTGAATAAAAAGCTAGAGATGGTGTCTCAATTAAAAAACTCATATTAGTTATAATATAAACTGCATTGTCATGTCTTGTATAAGTCTTAATAAAAAAAATTTAAATTAAAAACAATTTCTATTAAAAAGTCTTATAACCCTTCTATATTTAGTTGGAAAATATAAACTTGTTTTACATTGTTTTTAATCAAAATGATTTAATCATGAATGCTTAATTTTTTCTTGATTCAATTAATGATTTCTTTCATGGCTATGTAACCCTTACTGTTACTTTCTAATAAGGGCACAGATGAAAACTCAGCTATAAAGTTTAATGGTTCTGAGATCAACTAGTTTTACAAACTCTAAGCTCTCAGACAGACTAAATCTATCAATAAATGGACTATTTTAAATAGTACACTTTGAGCCTCAAACCTCTTAAATGTGAGTCGAGTGTTCAAGAAACATTCTTAAATGTGAGTCGAGTGTTCAAAAAACATTCTTAAACAAGTGTCAAAGCTGTTCATGGACGAAGCCATGGTTATGGTATTTGTTGTGGCTCTAACTAAAGATATTTATAAATAATTTATAAATATTTATGAAATTTTTTTATATTAATACAAAATTTGAAAACTCTTTAAAATATTTTCACAATTAATGACAATAATAAAAGTGTGCAAATAATTGTAAACGCACCAATTCTTTGCTATAGTTTCTATAAAAAATAAACTCATTGTATAGAAGTCATTAAACCATTCTATTATTAACATTGTGTTTATGTATGACGCTTTTTCCTAAAATTAATTTGTATTTTTCTTTTTTGCTTCATTGACTTGTAGTTTATTTAGAGTAGCTTTTAAGCTTGAAAAAATCTTTCACTAATTAAATATTTAAATTGTATATTATTAGATAATATTTATATATTAGTTAGCATAAGAAAGCAATGACAGACTTGTTCTAAAAAAGTTTGTATTTGCATTACTTAAAGCAATTAAAATGTTATTTATGTCTTTTTTACAATTATAACAAACTTATTTTTAACTTCTTCTAGTTTCTAACTAGAAGAAGTAAAAAAAAAGTCTGTTATAATTGTAGTTATGTTACATAGCAATGTTTTCTATGATTTACTTTAGTGAAATTACAAGAAACTACTTGAAAATTTAGGAATTGGTGCTACCAATTGTTTGAGCAACTCATGCTATCATGTTTTTAAACAGTGTGCAACCCATGTACAATGTATTTATGAATGTGACTGTAGATACATCTCCCATATAAACGTTTGAATCTCCATATGTTTAGAGTTTATTAGCTTTTTTACTAGAGAAAATTAATAATCCGAGAAATGCTACTACATAAATTTACTTTTAAATGTCAAATGGAATTTGACATTTAAAAGTAAATTTATGAAACCCCTAAAAACATTCCACATTGCTCTATAGGGTAAACTGGGGTAAAGTGAACTGTTTTTGATATTTAAAGGAAATATTTTCAAAATAAAAGCCAAAACATTTTGCAGTTTTCAAAATTTATACCATTTAAAGTATTAGGTACAATATAAAACAAAATACTAAGATTAAAAGCTACTTTTACAATATTAAATATATATTCAAAAAAAACATGTCCACTAGTTCACTTTACCCCCACATTGGGGTAAAGTGAACTACTTCATCTTTAACTCTTTTGTGTTTGTTATTTCTAATAAATTAGTTTTTTTGTTTTGTATTTTGCCTTGCTGCTTGATCTTTCTTTTAAAGCATTCGTTTTCTTCATCATTTAATCTTTTAAATGCATCTTCTGATGTAAGACACTCACCTCCATAGTGTCTTTTTATTTTTTTTGTAGGTCATTTGTTGTATGAACGACCATCACCCTTTGTGGCCATTAACTGTTCTTTCACTATTTCTCTAATGATTTTATTTCCAGTAGAACAATCTACATTTGATATTGATAGTTGATTTATTTTTTCATTGTTTAAGTCTTTTCCTACTGATATTATAGTTTTTTGTGAATTGTATTTATTTGTTGATTCAATAGAAAAATTTTCACAAGTATCGTTCTGATCATTGACATTGGTGTCTAAAACGATGTTTTGAGGGACGTTATTATTATAGTTATTTGTTTTCTGAGAAAAAGGGTGTTCATAGATTTCAGAAGGATTTAACTTGTCAGATGCTATAGCAGATGGATCAAAGGGAAAAATTCCAGTTTTGGCAAAGGATTGTACTAAATGAGCTGGCTTAAAGGAGGTATCATAAAGTTTTTTTAATAAAGATGGAAAAACAGATTTCCCAACCACCTTCAGCCTTGACTCGGTATACCAATTGGCCAGAATTTCACGCCATACATGTTTAACTTGGCGAAAGACTCCTACATCAAGTGGCTGAAGCAAATGCGAACAGTGTGCTGGCAAACACAAAATAGTTATATGATTTTCAACTGCTTTTTTAACAGTTTCTAAAGAAATATGACTAATGTGACCATCAAAGATAAGCAAAACAGGCTTGGGTGTGTCTTTCAACCATAAAACAAGATGGTTAAAGTATTCAGTGAAAACTTCTGTTTCCATCCAACCGTTTTTTGTCACCCCATATAAGGAACCATTTGGTCCACCAGTCATCCACTCTTTATACAAATTCTTCCCAGCAAATAAAATAAATGGAGGAAAATTTCTTCCTGCAGCTGATATTGTTGCTAGTACAGTAAACTGTTCTTTTCCTGATCCAGGAGCAATAGATACAGGGTTTTTAATACCTCTTTTGCAAATAATTTTTTTATTTATTGGGTTAGTGCAAAACCCACTTTCATCGCAGTTTAGTATTTGGGCAGGTCTATTCATAATGTCACATTTTTCCAATGTTGCTTTAAGTAATAAAAACCAAGCATCAATTACAGTTTTATTACAAGCTAAGGCTCTTGTTAATGTCAAAAGCTCTGGAGTTCTTATAGATATTTCTTTCTGCCAACGATTTAAAAAATTACAAAACCACTGATCACCAGCAACACCATTAACAAATTTTTTCTGAAATCCGTTTAATTCAATATACGTTTGAACAAGTTTCATAAATTGTTTTTTATCTAATCCAAATCCAAAATCAGAAAATGCAGATAAAAGTGAAACAAGATCTTTTTCAGCATCAGCAGATAATCGGTTTGGTCGCCCTTCACCAACTTTTGAGCATTTTATGCCTAGAAGATGTCTTGCAATTGTACTTCTTGGAACACCATATTCTTTTGATGCAGCATACGAAGTCATTTCTTTATTTTTAACTTTCGAAATGGCATTTTGCAACAAATTAGGTGCATATGTTTTTCTTCGAGATTCTTTTTTCTTAATGCAGTTTCTTGGCATTATTTCAATATATTATATTTCTGAAAATAATTTTAAGAATATTTAAAAAAAAAACAACTTATTTTAAGAGTAAACAATTTAGTTAAGTAATTACAATTTATATATTCAGTTCTACTAAAAATATTTGATGAAAAAACATAAGAAAAAGACTAGTTCACTTTACCCCCAATAGGCAGAAAAATAAGGGGTAAAGTGAACTAAATTGATTTACAAACTAAAAGCTTAGCTTTTTTATATTATGATAAAAACTACAATTTTTTTTTAACAGCATTATATTATCTTAAAAATGTATATAAATTATATAACTGATGTTCGCATTAATAACAACAAATCATGAATTTACTAAAACCCATAGCAAAGTTTGAGATCGTAATTTTAAAACTTCCGCCAAACTCGCTTTTTAAAATGGCTATTACATCAAAACAAAGGCTATATTTTATTAATTTTTTTATTTAAAAAATTTCAAAATGTTGTATTAAGCAAAAATAATGCTAAATTACTTAACAAAAAGTTTTTTAAACATGATAACTTTTTAGTTTAAAAAAATAGTTCACTTTACCCCTAGTTCACTTTACCCCAGTTTACCCTACATAAGATGTATAGAGCAAGGTATTACTGTAGAATCTTGAAAAGTTTTATTGTTAAGAGATAGATTGCTTGTGCTCCTCTTCTTTACAGCCCCCTTCCCCCAGTTTTAATAAGTCTAAAAACATAAGTGAAGCTCAAATTAGTTTAACAGATAATAGTTGAGGGAAGAAACAAAATAATTTTAAAATCATAGATTTTGTTTATATCTATTTTAAAAACATACATATTGTTTATACACATATCAACATATTACTACAGTCTACTACCACATAACATCAGTCTACTACCACATAACATCAGTCTTCTACCACATAACATCAGTCTACTACCGCATAACATCAGTCTACTACTGCATAACATCAGTCTATTACCACATAATATCAATCTACTACCACATAAAATCAGTCTACTACCACATAAAATCAGTCTACTACCGCATAACAATTGTCTACTTTTGCATAACATCAGTCTATTACCACATAATATCAGTCTACTACCACATAACATCAGTCTACTACTGCATAACGTCAGTCTACTACCACATAACATCAGTCTACTACTGCATAACATCATTCCACTACTGCATAACATCAGTCTACAACTGCGTAACATCAGTCAACTACCACATAAAATCAGTCTACTATCGCATAACATCAGTTTACTACTACATAACATTAATCTACTACTGCATAACACCAGTCTACTATTGTGTAACATCAGTCTACAACTGTATAATATCAGTCTACTATCACACAACATTTACAGGGGAAAACTAGTGATGTCATAAAAGAACACCAATTTCAGGATTTGTTGTAGCTTGTGTTTAAAAAGTTTACTTTTAAAAAAACCTTTAAAAAAGTCAAGTGCATTTTTGTAAAATATTCAATGCTTAACAAGTTAAGTGCAATAATGGCGTGGTGGTATCGACTTAGAACTTCTCAATCACTAGAGCACTGTAGTGATGTAGTAATATATATTTTATTTAGCATAAACATAAACAACTTTTAATAATACCACTTAATACTTTTAAAAATTTGTTTTGTTCAAAGTTTTTATTTGTATATATATAACATAGATATATATATATATTTTTTTATTTTTTTATTTTACTTCACCTCCTCAAGGCCGAGAAGGCCACTACAAACGAGGAGGCTACTTATTTTGTGGCTATAACCCTCTCTCAACTCTATAACTCCGAAACACGAACCTTGACGAACAAGGCCACTGCGCGGAGAAACGAGTTGAGCGCGGTACTACCAGGGACGTGGTGGGGATCGAACTCGAATCGAACTCGATCGAAAATATATATGACATTTATGCTGGTTACAGTCTTTTTTTAAATGCTATGGGCTTAAATCCAACATAAAACATAAAAGCTAAGTATCTAAAACAAATATTAAATACTTAAACCTCAGGTCCAACAATAACTAAATATACATTTGGATTAGATTGATGCCATTCTAAAGAAAACAAATAAAAAATTTTTAGCTGATGAGTTAAAAATGTTTCAAAGAGTTAAAAATGTCTCTGATAAAGCTTTCCATCATTACCTAGGTAATGAATAAACTAATCTTGATAAAAATAAAAAAAATAAAAACATTGTATTTAACTTAAAGGATCTTCATTCCATCAAGTAAAATCTCTTATTTTCCAATTTTTTAATGATTTTAAATATATAGACTTAGTGAGCCATTTTGCAATCCACACTGTTCTTAATGAGATAATCCACCCTGTTCTTAATGAGAATTTGAATCAACATACATAGTTTTCAGCTTTGTGATCATCTAGAAAGCTATAAAAAATGCAACAAAACTGTTCCAGGCATTTTTTCTTGGCCCTTTTCAGTAAGTTAGAAATCTTACCATATTTTTTGTCATCTTGATCTTTAGCTAACGAAGTTACTATCCTAGACATAGGAGAGAGATTTTTTTATCCAAGCTGTTACTAATCTTTTTCTTTGATAGTAACCCTTAATACCAGAGGTGTCTATGATTAAAGGAAATTTTGGTTAAACCACTTTAAAGAATCATTAGAAAAGATATGATTTTAAAAGTCTCTGGTAAATTCCAATTCATAGTTGTGACACTTCAAGAAAGTCAGTAACATCTTGATATTGGTTTAGTCTCTTCACATTGTTCATTGTATTTCTGGTTAATGAAATGTGGTCTTGTCTCTTCAAACTTATCTGTAACAGCTACATGAGTGATCAAGCAGTGAAGTTGATTAATTGAAAACTTTATTTTTTTTGTAATTGATACAAAACTGTAACAGCTAATATTAGTTATAAATTTAAAGCAGTCTAATGTACCCTGTACTAATTGTTTAAATTTAACATTTAAACAATTTGTACAGGGTATAAAACTTAAAATCAGAAACAGTTAAACAATTAGTACATTAATATTACCATTAAACCTAATTTACTACATTAATATATTAGTCAAATGCAACTTCTGAAACTGTACAAAAGCAAAATTGTTGAAATTCTATAACATAACACACAATATAAGAGATAAACAATATAAATAACACACAATATAAGAGATAAACAATATAACATAACACACAATATAAGAGATAAACAATATAAATAATATAAACACACAATATAAAAGATAAACAATAATATAAAGCTACAAGCATAATCTACATTTAGATACCAACCAGTTCTTGAATCAAACATAAAATGAATATAAAATTAATTATTCTCATATTCATAATCAACATAGACCATAATATTGGTTTAAAAAACCTGTGGTTCTACTTTTGAGTAAACTGTGGTTCTACATTTGAGTAAACTGTGATTTTACATTCAAGTAACCTGTGATTACATGTGTTACTACTATTCAAAATTGTAAAAGTTTCCTAAAAAAACTTAACATAGTTCTGGAAAATTCTAGGAAATTCATTTTAATAATGTAAAATATCATCACTCTGAAACCAAGTGAAACAGAAAGCTATTTAAGTATTAAAATTAAAAATGTTATTTATAAAAAACAAAAATACCTTTAAAATATTTATGTACTTTAATAGAAAATAACCATACCAGAAAAACTATCAAACAAATATATCTGGTCTTTTACAGGTCGTAAACCACCAGCAAGTAAAAATAAATTCTAAAAAAAATTATACAAAAGATATAAAAAATTACTTCAATGTTTTTTTTAATTCTTTTGCAGCCATTATTTACTTAACCTTGACTAACAAAATTCAAACAGCAAAATTACAAGCTCAAACACTTTATGAAAATGGGATGAAGTTTTTAACATTTGCATAGCAATGGACAATGATACATAGGCGATTTTAATCAGCTTGCAGGATAAAAATTTTATATCTATTAAAATTCTGGAAATGTGGACAATAAATTTGAGTACAAACTACTTAGACAAAATTGAAAAAAAACCTGCTTGTATGTAAATCTCCTTGTACGGAGAGCAATATCCACTTGTAGTTATTAAAGTGTACACGACTTTTAACAATGACTTTTTGCTAGTCATCAATGTAAAAAAAAATCCATTTGTTTTTTACATAATCACGCAAAAATAAATGTTGTATAACATGTTATATTTATACAAATAAATGTTGTATAACAACAGATTTATTAAAAGCTTGGAAAATTGTTTTAAACAAGTTTGCTTGCAAAAAACTCATGCAAAAAGCTTATGTCAGGTCAAAAAACTCATGCAAAAAGCTTATGTCAGGTCAAAAAACTCATGCAAAAAGCTTATGTCAGGTCAAAAAACTCATGCAAAAAGCTTATGTCAGGTCAAAAAACTCATGCAAAAAGCTTATGTCAACTTAAAATAAATATCATACCTTATTTTCCAGATCACATACTTTCTATAAAAAAAATAATTTATTCTTTAAATGTATTTGTAATATATATCAATAAATATAATTATAAAATATATCTACACAGTTGATTCATTGATATATATATATATATATATATATATATATATATATATATATATATATATATATATATATATATATATATATATATATATATATATATATATATATATATATATATATATATATATATATATATATATATATATATATATATATATATATATATATAAATATATATATATAAATACACATGTGTATATATATATACACATATATATATATAAATGTATGGTATAAAGGTAAGCAATCTGACGTCATACTGAAATAGCCTGCTGCTGGGGGCTTCAGTACATACATTGACTGACAAATAGCCTGACTCGCAGTGGAGTGCTGCTACATCGACTGAGGGTTTGGGATGGGGAAGCAATCGTTTTATTCATCATTCCTTGTTTTTTCTTCTTTTTCGAAAAAAACGGTATAGCTTAAGGTAAGCAGAAAAAGTGAGCAAATGCTTATCAAAACACGCTTTAGTAAGTGGGTATATATATATATACAGTCACGAACAAAATTAAGTAACATTATTGATAAAATCGAAACTCGAACAATAAAAACAAAATTATTTAGTCAGGATCTACGCAACTGCAATAACTTTATGTTTTTTTAAAAATTTGATTCCAAAGAAAAAAAAAAATATTTTTAACTCTTTATAACTCATTGCAAAAGTAACTCTATTAAACGAAATTAGCTATCTTACAACTTTTTTGTCCAAAATAAATGCGACATAAGTAAGAAACATCTTTTTTAATTATGAGTTTTTATTATGAAATATAATGTTTTGTCAGTAATAAAATATATTAAAAATACAAGAATATCATGTCTGATTTTCATTTTAGTACTTTGTTGCACCACCTTTTGCTTTCACGACTGCTTCCAAACGTCTTGGCATGCTTTTTACAAGCTTTGACGTGACGTCAGTACCAATTGAATTCCAAGTTTCACTAAGAACCTCAAAAAATTCTTTTTTATTTGTTCGTTTTGAAGGAGGTATTTTGGATTTTAAAATTGCCCATAAATTTTCAATAGGGTTAAGGTCAGGGTTTTGTGGTGGCCATTTAAGGATGTTAACTTTACTTTTTTTGAGGAAATGTTGTGCCACTTTGCTGGTGTGTTTGGGGTCATTGTCTTGTTGAAAAAAGAACTTGCGATCTAAATTCAATTTTTTAGCGGATTGACATAAATGTTTGGAAAGCAAATCAACATACAATTGTCCTGTCATTATATCTTCAACATTCACCAGTCTTCCCACACCATTTGAAGCAAAGCATCCCCAAACCATAATTGAGCCACCTCCATGCTTGACAGTTTTTCTAAGATTTCTATCTAAGAGTGCATTACAAGGTCTGCACCAAACTCTTTGTTGTTTTTTAAAGCCAAATATTTGAAATTTACTCTCATCAGACCATAACACTGAGTTCCAAAATGCCTCATCCTTGTTAATATGCAGTTTCGCAAATGCTAAGCGTTTTTTTTTTTGTTTATACCACTAATGAGGGGTTTACTTTTTTGAAGACGGTTTATTAAACCACTTGAATTAAGTCTTCTCTGTACAGTTTGACTGGAAACATTTAATTTAAGATTTTCAACAATCTGTCTTGAGGTTATTGTTGAATTTTGTTTTGCTATTCGCGCAATTAGCATATCAGTTCTTGTAGAAGTCTTAGGGGGGGGCAACCAAATCTTTTCTGATTTTCAACAGAACCAGTTGTTTCAAATTTTATACACATCTTTCTAACACCACTTATTGATATTTGATATTTTTCTGCACATTGCTTGTAGGTTAAGCCCTTTTTTCGATCACAAATGACCCAAGATCGGATGTCCAATGAATAATTTTGATGATGAACCATTATTATTGTTAGTTTTACTTTTTCTAAAAATAAATTCCAAATAAATAAAGTTTAAAATGCTTATTTTTACTAAATTTAAAAAAATCTCTTTAATAATAATCATTTTTAATAAATAGCTATTGACAAAACATTATATTTCACAATAAAAACTCAAATGTTTCTTACTTTTGTCACATTTATTTTTGAAAAAAAATTTGTGAGATAGCTAACTTTGTTTAATAGATTAACTTTTGCAAGGAATTATAAAAAGTTATAAATGTATTTATTTTTCTTAGGAATCAAATTAAAAAAAAAACATAAAATTATTGCAGTTATGTAGATCTTGACGTAAATAATTTTGTTTGTATTGTTAGAGTATCAATTTTATCAACAATGTTACTTATATATTTTGTCCGTGACTGTATATATATATATATATATATATATATATATATATATATATATATATATATATATATATATATATATATATATATATATATATATATATATATGTATATATATACATATATATATATATATATATATATATATATATATATATACATATATATATATATACATATACATATATATATATATATACATACATACATATATATATATATATATATATATATATATATATATATATACATTTTCTTTTTTTTTTTTTTTTTTTTTTTAAACATCTTCACTTCCAACAAGGCTGCAGGCAACCACTATAAGAGTTGGAAGTTACTGGAAGAGAAAAGACTAAATCTGTAGAGCAAGATAACGATTGACTGACGACTTAAAAGATTGCAAATTATATGAATCAGGAAAGCAAGATGAAGGAAGCGAATTCCAAAGAACTGATGTTCGAGGAAAAAAACTAGAAAAATAAGAGTTTTTGAAGCACTTAGGAACAGTCACAGAAAAAGGATGAGACTTAATTGAATGGCGAGTAACACGAGAATGAATTTTAGTAGATGGCACAAGGGACGCTAGCTCTTTAGAGCAGTGCCCATTATAGTATTTGTAGAAAAGAGAAAGAGAAGCAACATTACGACGATGTGACAAAGGTTGGAGATTGGCTGCCAGAGCAGGTCCAACTATGTTTACAATTCATTTTTGCACCTTGTCTAAAAGAGAAAGAGCATCGTTAGAAGATCCGCCCCAGATGTGGCAACAGTATTCCATACAGGGACGGATTTGAGATTTATAGAGATAGAGAATAGAATCTGGAGTAAGAAAGTGTCGAGCTCGATAAAGAGATGCAACCTTAGCAGATGCTAATTTTGCAATGGATTTGATATACGGTTTAAAAGAAAGATCAGAAGAAAGAGTTAATCCTAGAAGATGAATGGTAGATGACTCATCTAGTACATTACCATTCATAAATATAGGAAGATCTAAATTATTACGATAACGATTGGCCGAATAAAATTGAGTTTTATCTGAATTAAAGTTCACCAGCCACTGTGAGCCCCATGCTGTAGCAGAAGTAAGATCCTTTTCAAGCTCAGAAACCCCCTCCAAGCAATCAGAGAGTGTAGGCTTCTTATCATGACAAGAGTAAATGGTAGTGTCGTCAGCGAATAATGCCACCTTAGATGTGAGAATATCTGGAAGATCGTTAATGTAAATTAAAAAGAGTATAGGGCCAAGGATTGAACCTTGAGAAACCCCTGAAGTTACAGGATGTGAAGAAGAGTGTTGTCCATCGAGGACAACTTTTATACTACGATTGGAAAGAAAGGACTCAATAATCTTAAAGACGTTACCAGCTACACCATAAGAAGAAAGCTTATGGAGAAGACCAGCATGCCAAACTTTATCAAAAGCTTTAGAAATGTCAAGTGCGATAGCCTTAACCTCTCCACCTCTATCTAATGCACGGTAAAACCTATCGGTTATTACTGTTAGCACATCAGCTGTAGAACGAGAAGACCGAAATCCATATTGATGATCAAAAAGTAAGTTATTTGATTCAAGATGAGAGATTAAGTGTTTGTTGATTAAAGATTCGAAAACCTTGCTTATGACAGGAAGAAGACTAATGGGACGGTAGTTAGATGAATCAGATCGCTCTCCGGAATTTTTGAAAATAGGGATAACAGATGCTGCTTTCCAGCATGATGGAAAACAAGACTCTGATAAGCACTTGTTAAATAGTTTAGAAAGTATGGATGAAAGCTCCGGAGAACACCTCTGCAAGACTACAACAATAATGTTGTCAGGACCACAAGCTGTTGAAGAGTCTAAGCAGGAAATTACTTTAGATACAGAAGCTGAAGTGATGCGAATGTCAAGCAAGGGATCAACCTGTTTGACGGCTATGTCAGGTAAAACGCAACTAGTGGAATCAAGAGATGATATTGATGAAAAGTTCTTAGCAAACAATTCAGCTTTGTCTTTAGGTGAGGTGACAAAGTCTGAACCATAAAAAAGAGAAGGAATAACAGATTTGCCCTTATTATTGATACTGTTAAAGATTCTCCAGAAGTCTCGAGAGCCTAATTTTTGTGATGAGATACGAGATTTAATGACCTGGGAATAGCGAACTTTGGCGTCAGACAAAACCTTTTTACAATGGTTTCTGGCGATGGTGAACAGATGTCTGTTTTCTGGAGAATTGTTTTGCTGATAGATATGGAAGTAACGGTTTCGATTAGAAATTGCTGCAGCGCAATGTGAGGAAAACCAAGGAGAAGAGTGAGGCTTGACCTGGAATCGTCGAGAGGGAATAAAAGATTCCATGCCAGCCTGAATCCACGAAGTTATGTAAGAAGCACATTTGTCAGCAGGAAGACGAAATATTTCTACCCAAGGGCCATCACGAAGAAAATCACGGAAAGAGTCCCAGTCAGCTTTAAGGTAGTTGTATGTGGTACGATGATAGGGGGATTCTGATGAAGTAGAAGTATTTGATAATAGTTTTAGAGAGATCAAACCGTGATCAGAAGTACCTAAGGGTGAATGTGGAGAAATTGAGCACTGACTAGGATCCAAAACAAGACATAAGTCGAGTAGAGAAGGTAAATGATTCGGGTTGTCTGGAAAACGAGTTGGAAAGTTGACTATTTGAGTTAGAGATTGAGAAAGGCAAAAGTT